CGCAGAAACATTCACAAACATTACTCCCAGTAATGTATATGTCGCAGAAACTTAACCAAACTCAACAAAAATACAATACATTTGAACGAGAAGCGTTGGCACTAGTTATTAGTCTAAAAAAGTTCCAGAAGTTTCTTTTGGGAAAAGAATTCACTATTTTAACAGATAACTTGGGGTTGACAAAATTATTAACAATTGATGCCAATAGCAATCCAAGGGTATATAGAGGGGCGTTGTTGATATCACAATTCAAATTTAACATTGAACACATCAAAGGAACAGACAATCATTTACCAGATATCATGTCACGTTTGTAGAACATGTTACAACTGCTATTACAACTTGTATTAACTGAAATCATTTATGCAAGGGTATGCATTGTATTATTGTATGAATGTATTATATGAATTTACAACTTGGAAAATGTAGGTTTTGATCTGAACGGTTATAATATAGTAAACAATTAAAGGGAGACAACATTCAGGATTAAAATACACCTCACCAGAAAATGTTACATTTACTAGTATACTAAATTGAATTGGTGTAGCATTTAATTTGAATATGTGTGTTAATGAGACATGTTGTGGTTTCTGAAGACAAGGTAATTAACTACATCTTGTACCTTACATAGTTGGGAACAAAACCATACATTGCTGATTTAGCCATTGTTGAGGGCTTTCATGAATGGGAATAGCGAGGGTGGGACTTCATGGGGTCACACTTCGGTTTTAGAGCCAAGATTTTGGACTTCCGCACCGATCGGGGGGTGCCAGGAGAGGGGTTCGGTTGTATACCGACTTTAGAACTGGGTGGGGATACCTATGGAGCCAGATTATTGGTCTTCCGCACAAAAAGGGGAGTGCCTGGGGTGAGGATCCCATTAAGGTATTCACAGTCGTGCAAAGACTCAACAGATGGCATTTTAGAGTGTTTGAATTGTTAACCTAATGAGGTAAAGGGAACTTTGTTGGAAATGAACTTGTCGAAAATGATTCACTACAAAGGTCTAGAATCACAATGTTCAGTGAAATATTCACACCTGATTAATTGAAAATGTAAAACATTTTTTTGGGGTGGGGGAGAATGTAGTGAGTCATTTTCTCCTCATTAATTTATGCCCGATAGATGACGTCAGTAATAGATGTAAGACGAATGTTTTGACTGGTTGAGATAACACGAGATTTATGTCTTGAGTTTCATGAGAGACATCTGAAAGTCAGGTTTTATGTGTAACATGATTGTTCACAGGATCTGTGTGAAATGTGAATTATCACGGGCCAGACACGACTTTCAACAGTGGGAAATTCGTGAGAATGAATTCAGAACATTCTAGAATAGGATAGATCAGAGGGCTATATAATAGCGAGGAAAAAGGTTTGTGGCAGTCTCGTTTTGGACCCAGGAACAGTGTGCATGGACAGCGGTGGATGATGTGTGAATTCAGCAGATGTTTTTGAGTGAATTTGTTCCAGTCCAACTTGGCGAAGAAAGCTGGCCAGTAATATGTCTGCCGGTCGTCTGAGTGTATCTGTCAGGACAGCTGTTGTGTTTCGTTTACGATGTTAGTGTAAATCGATTGGGATTTCTGCTTGAAGGTAATAATTGATTCTTGCATTATAATGTGTGCCTGGACAGTTGTCAAGTTCATGTGCCGGCTGTGTAAGCCGCGAGTGGAAGATTAAAGTACTGGAACAGTATCGTGTTGTTTCCCAGTCGTCCATTTTTCTGCTCGTCGTGTGATGTTGGTTTTGTGAGTTGGCAGCGAGCGTGCGATGAGGCGAGCCAGTAGAAGATAAAAGAGAAACATCGCAATGGGAGTTAAGCATGGTGAAGCACGTCTTTGCCGTCTGCGAGGCCGAGAAAGGAGACAATATAACCAGCTTCTCATGGGGACAATTAGTAGAAGTACTTTGGAGTGGCTGCTGCTTCGGAGGACTGCGCACGCATGGGTATGCCCAATGTGCAGTGACGTCGATTGTGATAACAAAACACAAAATAACATTTTGTAGGAAGTCGGCATTCCGAAACCCAAGTTCAAGGTGTCTCCTTCGTGCCAAAGAACTGCATGGCTGTTGGGTGAACAGTCGTTAACGAAGGCAGTCAGGTCGTTGTAGGGGCGACGCCTGCTGGTGGATGTAATGTCCTAAGTCCCTTTCCCAGCTAATAGTGAGGGTACTGCTGGGGTGACCATTTGTTAACCCCTCACATAATGCTTCAAGTCACAGTGGACACTAGGCACGACCACTTTTTTTTTTTTAAGCCGTGGCAGTTTTGCCAGGCGGTGGCCGTTGCATTTTTGCTCCATTTGTAGACTGGAAGGATATAGTTTCGTCACCCAGCTTCTGAGTTGAGTGCATGGTGTGACACTGTGAGCTACGAGTGTTTTTCGTTGGCACAGGAGCGGAGCAACAATGGGGTGACCCGTTTGCTATGATGCTGAAACTAGGATTACCAGATACCAGATTACTGATACCAGTAGAAGAAACATTATCAATGAAATATTGATACCAGCAGAGGAAACATCATCTGTGAAATACTGATACCAGTAGAAGAAACATTATCAATGAAATACTGATACCAGCAGAGGAAACATCATCTGTGAAATACTGATACCAGCAGAAGAAACATTATCAATGAAATACTGATACCAGCAGAGGAAACATCATCTGTGAAATACTGATACCAGTAGAAGAAACATTATCAATGAAATATTGATACCAGCAGAGGAAACATCATCTGTGAAATACTGATACCAGCAGAAGAAACATTATCAATGAAATACTGATACCAGTAGAAGAAACATTATCAATGAAATAGTGATACCAGTAGAAGAAACATTATCAATGAAATACTGACACCAGTAGAAGAAACATTATCAATGAAATATTGATACCAGCAGAGGAAACATCATCTGTGAAATACTGATACCAGTAGAAGAAACATTATCAATGAAATACTGACACCAGTAGAAGAAACATTATCAATGAAATATTGATACCAGTAGAAGAAACATTATCAATGAAATAGTGATCCCAGTAGAGGAAACATTATCAATGAAATACTGACACCAGTAGAAGAAACATTATCAATGAAATATTGATACCAGTAGAAGAAACATTATCAATGAAATAGTGATACCAGTAGAAGAAACATTATCAATGAAATACTGACACCAGTAGAAGAAACATTATCAATGAAATAGTGATACCAGCAGAAAAAACATTATCAATGAAATAGTGATACCAGTAGAGGAAAAATTATCAGTGAAATACTGATACCAGTAGAAGAAACATTATCATTGAAATAGTGATACCAGTAGAAGAAACATTATCAATGAAATAGTGATACCAGTAGAAGAAACATTATCAATGAAATATTTAAAAAGTAAAGGAAACATAAATTACTGGAGCGGCGGTTCCAAACTATTTTGAATCGCAGAGGTTTTTTTAAAATCTGTATTCCCCATGTGCGTTCCATGTCTCATCTGGTGGAGGGGGCGGGGGAGACCTTAGAAAAAATCTGCTGATTACCAAAAAATCGACGAACTAGAGATGTTTTTTGCGAAGCTGGAGGGCACACGCCTGAGAAATAAGGAACCAACAGTGTACTTACAAATAAAGTTGATCTGTAAAAACGAAGTGTTCGCATAAATTAAGTTCTGGAACAAGACTAAAGTCTAGAAGTGGACTCTGGAATTTACCGCCAATGAAGGTGAAGAAACAGAATCAGTTTCCTTGGCGGCGTCTCTTCGGTCTACCATACTTAATGTCTTGCAATCGAATGTTGTTTAGAAGTAATGTTGGGGAGCGGGTGAAGAGTATAACTAAATTAAAAATAGAGATATCTAAACAATTGCGCAATATCCATTCACAAATATTTTTAAAACTTTGAAATTTACCATAAAAAACTCATTTATTCTCAGCACCAATACACACCATATTGTCGAAATGTGGTTAGATAAACGTTTTTCCAAAGTGTAATAAATCACAACATTTACTTTACATTAGCAATAATAATAATATCCAGGAAATAACCAATAAGCGTTTAATGAGACACACAACACAAGGTCGCATCAAGCGAACAGTTGACACTTGCATTTTGTAAAGCAATGTGTAAAGAAAACTCGCCAACCTGATTTCTCAAATTTGAAGTATTAAATAAAGCACAAAAACAAACCCCAAAAAAAAAAAATGGTTTCTCATCAAAAATTGACCCTTTAAAGTTCAAAAGTGAGCCTCTTTTCATTTAAAATGAACCTCATATCACTCCTTTCATCCATACATCCATCCTAGATGACCAGCGACTGGCACAGGTAAGTAAGTAAAGTAAAGGACCCTTTTCCACGCCTTTAGGCGTATAGGGCATATAGGACTAGACCTATATTTTTATAGACCAATCGGCACAAGATGGGTGATGTGGTCAGCATCACGCCGGCCGCCTTTACTTTCTCGGGACTGCACCCGGTACCCACTCAAGGCTGGGTCGACCTGGGAGCCAAGATCATTTTTGAAAAAAGTCCGGCTCCGCCAGGGAGTGAACCCATGACCTTCCGATCCGCGACGAGTGATTCCCTGGCACAGGTTCGAAATAGGGAAAAACGTATTCTCTCAGGGGTAAAAATAAAAATCTCACCTGTACCGTCCATGATAACAGCATTAGCCATGCGGCCCCAAATCCAGATGCTCAAAGACCCCCACAACAAATGCTTGAGGATTCACACAAATGGGAACAAATCCATCTTCAACGTAATGCTGCAGCCTGAAACGAAGACCCGACGCTCCGAATACCAGGCAAACAGTTCATTGGCGTCACCACAAAGAATTCATAAGGGAGGATGGCTCAGTCTTTAATAATTTGATTTGAGTAGGCTTAAGCCTTGTTTAACAGCACAATAACAATTACTACTGTATTTATCATTATTATTTGTTAAGTGGCAAATAAATATAATAATAAATTTGAAACATTAACTACATTCATTAAAAAAACTTATACATGAATAGTGGGGTCACTAGTTTTCTGTATAATTCCCGCTTTACTTTGGGACGCCATTTTTTATTACTTTAAAGCCCCTCCTGGCTGTTTTCGGGGACCCTAATATAACCTAACAGTTGAACAGGGTTTCTGAGACGTGCCCTGGCGATCCTCATCCGAATGGTGGAACTTTGTGTCACCATCTGTTTGTCGCTCCTTGTGCAGTCCTGGTGAGATTGAACGACACATTTCCTCTTTACTAAGTTTCCTGGGAGAGGCTTCGGCTCCCTCCTTGAAAAAATTCGGTAGGTGGGTATGCCACCCACTCCCGTCACTTTTACACATATATACAGTTTTTGGCGCTTCTCGAAACAACTTGACCATCTGAACATCCTGAATAACGCCCCATTTACGGTAATGATTCCCAATCAACCTACCTGCTAACCAGCCTTACAATAACACTAGTACAAAAGACTCTGGCTTCTTGTAGCCCGTTTTCTTCCATTAACTGTTCTTTTGAAACTGATTTATAGGATCATCTAGCTATGGGATCAAAGGCGAGGAGCAGATCATGCAGGATCTAGTAGACAACGGCCCCGTGACTGCTGTATTTACCGTCTACAGCGACTTTGTGTCCTACAAATCAGGTAGGCTTCATCGTAGTTATCTCCCATCATTGTCTTTGCCAATATCATAACCATCGACGTTTTCATTTTCCTTTGACTGTTAAAATAATCCTCACTAGATCGTTTTCATAATCATCATCATCATCATCATCAACATCAACATAACCTTTCTCATCATCATCATCATTGCCGAATCGTCCGAACTCTCATCTTGGTGAAAATATTCCTCATAGTCTTCATTATTATAATCTTGAGCGGACGTTATTATAATATCATCACCGCCTACAAATTCATCAACACTATCATAATTACCCACATCTTCATGCTATCATTACCATCATCATCTTTACAATCATCATTATCATTACCATCACTATGCCCTTTGTTTGTCACTTTGTGCTCAGTAATTCTCTCTCTTGGCTTGTTAGGGTGATGTTTACACTTTGTGTAAGTAATTCTCTGTCACAATTTGTTTACTAATTCTCTCATTTGTTTCTTTGAATCGCTTTTTCTCTTCAGTCGTCATGAATGAATTCCAACCCACGGTCACATGATTGATGTATACAGATTGCTTTAATTATGTTTCTTTTCGTCGTCATCATCATCAAGTACATTGCCGACTGATGTGGGTCATGACCTATGTAAGTTTGGGCGTAGCGGCAGATGACGTCAGCTTGACGTTTCGTCACTACGCCAACGCGCTTACGATGCAACATAAATAACTTTTAGTAGACCATCGATGTTTTTTTTTTTTTTACTTTTAACTAGGCTAATACTAAAGTCACAATTATGGTCTAAATTTGAACAGTAGAAAAACAGAAAGTACTTACATTTTAGCTGGTGAATTTCCAGCATGTATCCACATACGTCAAATATTGAAATAATATCCACACATACTTCAAATGTCCCAATATCCACATATATGGATATATAAAACTAACCACTGAACTTATTACCTATAGTATTCAATGATTTAATATGATTTTAAAAAGTTAAGGTGCCAATTTTGCAATATTTTATTGCTCGCTATCAAACAGTTTCTTTAAATAAGAAAAGTTAGTTTCTGCAGCGCTGTCAGTATCACAGTTATTTAGCATTTTTCTAGTTATTGAAGGATATATAAATGTCTGGTCTGTGTGCTTCTGATTGATCCAGTTCCTCCAAATGCATTTTAACAAGTGCCCAGAATCACGCAGTAAAAATATTTTTATCAGCAAAATGTGGGTTCTCAGTAAATGTTTGCATTGTCAAATAGTTTACCCCCGGAGTAAGTAAGTAGTGGCCGATTTAACATATATTTCATTCATCTGAACCAAGATGGCATGGAGGGATATCAAGAGAGCTGTTCCATGCAACAAGGGGTCGTGATCTGTGGAGACAGGGCACATGATGATGATGACGATCTTAACCACTACAACCTTGTCTAGCTTCGTCAGTTTGTCTTGTTTCAATTTCAAGTACTGTGAGACGCTGACAGTATAAGTAGACAGTGACAGATGTGGTGGTGGGTTAGACACAACATAAAATATTTTCTTATAAATCGGTATAGTGCTGGAGATTTAATAAACAGCCTAAATGCAAAGCATAGTGAGCTACTACTATAACGCCTTCTGTTTTTTAACCTGGTTAATATATGCAGCCATTAACACCTATTGTGTGTCAGTTACTTCCTAGGCTTTTTAACTAAAAGTCCACTGGTCTGCAGCACTTTTAAAAATAATTCATGCTTCCTCTACTAGTCGGCTCTGTGGCTAAGTCGATGCGAACGCTTCGTAATGCCAGGGTACCGAGTTCGATCCCAGCTGCGGGCCATACGCCTTGCGTTGGTTTCGACAGTGGTGTCAGGGAGCCGACCGTCCAGTGGAAATGGCAAACTACTGGACGTAATTTGCCTAGAGAAACCACACAACAGCCTGGGGCTATGAGGCTGGCTCTGCAACGTTCCTGTAAAAGGATATGCAACTAACCTTTTTTTTCCTGTACTAAACCTCTGAAGCTATTCGGGCACTGAATTTAACTACAGTCCTATGCAACCATGAAGTCTATCACAAGTGACCGCCAAAATTGGAGAGAGCTGATCAGACAGTCAACAGAAAATGATGACCCAACGACCCGTAGTGTTACGGGATGATGATGATGATGATGACACTCCCAGGCACATTCTCACAACTTTATTGTCGTCTACAGTCACTTCCAGGTCTCCGTCATTAACCTTTTTTTTCATCAAATACTTGTAAAGTCATATTTAGTAATACTTATATACTGACAACTATGGGTGGTGTAGAATCTGGTTGTATCTTAATAATATACAAAACGTTGCATGCTAAAATTATATCTGTCCTTTCAGTTTGTTTTTATATGTAACTCCAGACCTTGAAAATGTGTAGCATTTTTAGAGGACACACATTCATTTACTTTTTGATCTTAAATACTGTTAATTTGTGATACACGTTCTTCTGGAGTTTTGCAAGGGGCTGGTACTTCTACAGATAAATAGGATAAAAGATCTGGAAAGACCGTTGGAAAATTGTTTTTTTAAAAGCAGGATTGTTTCTTGGAAGTACATGCTAAAAGCTCGATTTGTCTGTGTATTTAGCAGATACAATAATATCAGACGAAATAAAATAGTTCACACATTCTACACTATTAATTCATTTTTTTAAGTGTTCTATCTCTCCGTAGAATTAATTTCAACCATCTTTCTTTTTCCTCAGTTTTTGAAGGAAATGTAAACACACTCACATATCCTTTGAAGGCATAGTTAGTAATACTAAACACTGTACAACAGCCTATTTCGAAAATTTAAAAAGAAATCAAGGTAAATAAAAACGTGAAAAAAAAGACAGTTCATATTTTCACTTCCAAATAGACACTACACACATAATTGTCAGCCTCCTTACTCAAAACGACTGGATCTGCTAAAAGACAAACTTAAGTAGGTCATGTGTAGGAGATCATGTCTCTCCACAACCTGCGATCTCCGACATGTCATTTTTTTTAAGTCTAACATGAATTTTCTCACTTATTCACCCGTTTTCTCTCTCTCTCTCTCTCTCTCTCTCTCTCTCTCTCTCTCTCTCTCTCTCTCTCTCTCTCTCTCTCTTTTTGTTTTTTTTCTCTCTCTCTCTCTCTCTCTCTCTCTCTCTCATCTAAAAAAAATATTTCCAGGGCTCATTACATATTCCGGTTATGTTCTTCTGATAACATGTCCAAAATATGATAACTATCTCCTTCTGATAACATGTCTAAAATATGATAACTATCTCCTTCTGATAACATGTCTAAAATATTATAACTATCTCCTTCTGATAACAAGTCTAAAATATGATAACTATCTCCTTCTGATAACATGTCTAAAATATGATAACTATCTCCTTCTGATAACATGTCCAAAATATGATAACTATCTCCTTATGATAACATGTCTAAAATATGATAACTATCTCCTTCTGATAACAAGTCTAAAATATGATAACTATCTCCTTCTGATAACATGTCTAAAATATGATAACTATCTCCTTCTGATAACATGTCTAAAATATGATAACTATCTCCTTCTGATAACAAGTCTAAAATATGATAACTATCTCCTTCTGATAACATGTCTAAAATATGATAACTATCTCCTTCTGATAACATGTCTAAAATATGATAACTATCTCCTTCTGATAACAAGTCTAAAATATGATAACTATCTCCTTATGATAACATGTCTAAAATATGATAACTATCTCCTTCTGATAACAAGTCTAAAATATGATAACTATCTCCTTCTGATAACATGTCTAAAATATGATAACTATCTCCTTATGATAACATGTCTAAAATATGATAACTATCTCCTCCTGATGTTTATGATAAATAGTCTTCTGGTCCTCGCTCTCTTCATGACTTCTGAGTTACTCATTTTGGATTTTCGATGAATTTCATACAATCTTCTCAAGGTGTTTATAAGCACACAAGTGGGAAGGCGTTGGCTGGGCACGCAGTGAAAATCCTGGGATATGGTGTGGAAAATGGAGAGAAATACTGGCTGGTGGCAAACTCGTGGAATGAAGACTGGGGTGATAACGGTAAGTAATTTAGCTTATCATCTATAACTAGTATCACAAAGATAAATAATTTGGCTTACTTTCATTTTAACTATTGTACAATTAAATAATATATTTACCACCTACCGCCATTGTGATACATTATGCAAAATTACATACCATATATCACCATTATAATAATGTAATTAGTCTAATTTATTATACATTAGCATTACATTTAATGTAAGTAAGGCTGCTCACAATCTATCTCCATTGTAATAAAGCTAAAAAGTGTAAATTACCATCCGATTATAATAAAAGTAAATAATGTAACATCATCTATCACCATTTGTCACTATCATGATAGGGTTCAGTAGTGTGACTCACCACATATTCATACTATTGTAAGAGCGACACAAAAAAGTAATATAACTTACGGTAATTCCATGTTGTGATAAGGGTAAGTTATGTAACTTGCAATTTATCCTATTACTGAATCATCTGCATTCTCTACATGAGCCAAACAGCAAATCATAACTTGTGTAATTCCACCAATTCTTTCTGCTACCATTACCAAGCATGGCCTCTCATCTAACTGGCCAGTAGAGAAATTAACAGAGGAAAGATGCTGGGGAAAAAATTGAATAGCAGGATTTCATTCAGTGCAGCACACCCTTAACTTCATTGCAAACGTGTGAAATGTATATTAGCAGGAGTAATATAATTAGGCAAAGAAATGTTAGGAAGCAAGTTTACACCTAGAGGCCTCAGTAAAGGTTCCTGTAAGCATTCAAACATTCCGCTGCCTGGAAAGACGGCAGATATCGTCCTCGAAGAACTGCTTTAGATGTTTGTTGAACCATTTTGGTAATTACTGCCTACCAGAGGATCTGGCCGACGCTCAACACTCAGTGGAAGGGCGAGATGAATTTATAAGCAGACTGTTACTGGTACCATCGAAATTGGAACTCTGAGCTTATTGCTGAAGCTGGAGAGGGAGTGTTTACGTGAATGTCTTGAAAACTGATATCGATTCTTAAATCAACATTCAACAGTAACTGCTGCACTGTTTCTTTATGTATCGCCATGTTATTTCCATTTATTATACACTTTGAAAATGCTCTCAATGAACAACAACTCTATATTTAACAGACGTCATGACAGCGAGGACTAAATGCTTCAATAAGCAACCAAATTGTTTTAAACTATGGACAACTAAAAATAAAGACAAGGATGAACAGCACGTTGAGAAGGAATATAACCGGTGCGAAAGGCACAACGCGTTAGAGATCTCTTGCAGCCAACCTACATTATGGAGATGCCACTTGAATGACTGTTGCCTAGTGGTGAGGCTTCTTCATTATGTTCTTTTTTTAGGTCTGTTCTTTTTTTCCCCCATTTCTTATGTCTTCACCAAAAAATATGTCTATCCATAGTTTAGTTATCTTTACACAGTTCTACCACCGTCATCTAACCTTAGTATCTTTTTTTTTAACACTTCCTTGCTGTTTCGCACATTAAAATAGCGCACCTGTTATTGATTGTACTTTTAGGATACTTCAAGATACTGAGAGGTAGCAATGAGTGCTTGATTGAAGACAGGGTCGTTGCTGGCGAACCTCAAATTTGAGAACACTTGATCAAGCCCTGCAGTCCACATGATACTGACATAGCCGAGGATTAAAGCTAGACTGTAGTTTCTTGACAATGAGGTAGATATGGACCGTAGCTAGACTGTTGTTTCTTGACAATGAGATAGGCATGGACTGTAGCTAGACTGTTGTTTCTTGACAATGAGATAGGCATGGACTGTAGCTAGACTGTTGTTTCTTGACAATGAGATAGGCATGGACTGTAGCTGGACTGTTGTTTCTTGACAATGAGGTAGACATGGACCGTAGCTAGACTGTTGTTTCTTGACAATGCGATAGGCATGGACTGTAGCTAGACTGTTGTTCCTTGACAATGAGAAAGCCGAGGACTGTAGCTAGACTGTTGTTTCTTGACAAGGAGATGGGCACAGAGTGTAGCTAGACTGTTGTTTCTTGACAATGAGATGGGCACAGAGTGTAGCTAGACTGTTGTTTCTTAACAATGAGATGGGCACGGAGTGTAGCTGGACTGTTGTTTCTTGACAATGAGATGGTCACCGACTGTAGCTAGACTGTTGTTTCTTGACAATGAGATGGGAACCGACTGTAGCTGGACTGTTGTTTCTTGACAATAAGAAAGCCTAGGACTGTAGCTAGACTGTTGTTTCTTGACAAGGAGATGGGAACAGAGTGTAGCTAGACTGTTGTTTCTTGACAATGAGATGGGCACAGAGTGTAGCTAGACTGTTGTTTCTTAACAATGAGATGGGCACGGAGTGTAGCTGGACTGTTGTTTCTTGACAATGAGATGGTCACCGACTGTAGCTAGACTGTTGTTTTTTGACAATGAGATGGGCACCGACTGTAGCTAGACTGTTGTTTCTCGACAATGAGATGGGCACCGACTGTAGCTGGACTGTTGTTTCTTGACAATGAGAAAGCCTAGGACTGTAGCTAGACTGTTGTTTCTTGACAAGGAGATGGGAACAGAGTGTAGCTAGACTGTTGTTTCTTGACAATGAGATGGGCACAGAGTGTAGCTAGACTGTTGTTTCTTAACAATGAGATGGGCACGGAGTGTAGCTGGACTGTTGTTTCTTGACAATGAGATGGTCACCGACTGTAGCTAGACTGTTGTTTTTTGACAATGAGATGGGCACCGACTGTAGCTAGACTGTTGTTTCTTGACAATGAGATGGGCACGGGCTGTAGCTAGACTGTTGTTTCTCGACAATGAGATGGGCACCGACTTGAGCTGGACTGTTGTTTCTTGACAAGGAGAAAGCCTAGGACTGTAGCTAGACTGTTGTTTCTTGACAAGGAGATGGGAACAGAGTGTAGCTAGACTGTTGTTTCTTGACAATGAGATGGGCACAGAGTGTAGCTAGACTGTTGTTTCTTAACAATGAGATGGGCACGGAGTGTAGCTGGACTGTTGTTTCTTGACAATGAGATGGTCACCGACTGTAGCTTGACTGTTGTTTCTTGACAATGAAATGGGCACCGACTGTAGCTAGACTGTTGTTTCTTGACAATGAATAGGCACTGACTGTAGCTAGACTGTTGTTTCTTGACAATGAGATGGGCATAGACTGTAGCTAGACTGTTGTTTCTTGACAATGAGAATGACGAGGATTGTAGCTAGACTGTATTTTCTTGACAATGAGATGGGCACCGACTGTAGCTAGACTGTTGTTTCTTGACAATGAGAAAGCGGAGGACTGTAGCTAGACTGTTGTTTCTTGACAATGAGATGGGCATAGACTGTAGCTAGACTGTTGTTTCTTGACAATGAGAATGACGAGGACTGTAGCTAGACTGTTGTTTCTTGACAATGAGAAAGCGGAGGACTGTAGCTAAACTGTTGTTTCTTGACAATGAGATGATCACGGGGTGTAGCTAGACTGTTGTTTCTTGACAATGAGATGGGCACTGACTGTAGCTAGACTGTTGTTTCTTGACAATGAGATGGGCACGGGGTGTAGTTAGACTGTTGTTTCTTGACAATGAGAAAGGGGAGGACTGTAGCTAGACTGTTGTTTCTTGACAACGAAACAGGTACGGCCTGTATTTAGACCTTTGTTTCTTAACTATGAAATAGGTACGGCCTGAATTTAGACTGTTGTTTCTTGAAAAAGAGATAGGCATGGACTGTAGTTGGACTGTTGTTTCTTAACAATGTAATAGGCATGGACTGTATCTAGACTGTTGTTTCTTGAAAAAGAGATAGGCATGGACTGTAGCTAGACTGTTAGCTGTTTGTTGACAATTTATTGAGAAGGGAGCATCAGGCTGACAAAATATTTTACAAAAACTTTTGTAATAAAATTACTGCATTTACGTTTATTTATTTCTTCTGCCTTTGTTTTCCAATAAATGGTCGGTTTGAACCCACTCACGCTCAGCTGTGTCTACGCTTGTTTCATGACTGATTAGATTTTGCAGCTCAAGTTATATTTCTTTGCTTAATTTATTGGTCCCAGTCTTCTTCTTTTTCGTGTTCGCAGGCTGAAAAGTTCTGGTTGTTCATCCACCTCTGGACTGCAGTCTTGTTCCAGGACCTGAGTGTTGTGTGTGCATCCGTTTGACAGGTCTGACTAATTTGTATGCAGACTGCTGGTTCCTTGCCTCTCAGGTAGATGCACTCCGACTTCGAAGGAATCTTCCAATTAGTCGAATCTTTCGACATGTTTTTGGGGAGGAAGTGGATCTATTCTTTTTTTTTTCCCCTATAATAGGGCCCCGCAACCCACACGGGGAATTGGTCCCAGTAATGAGTGGGTTTCTTCAAACGTACTGTACATATAGTGCTAAATCTTTATTTTTATACACCAGTCGTCGCTCGTTGGGGGATGTGTTCAAAATCACTTCGGCCACCATTACTTGCCAGAACTTTATCTGGTATGTCTGTAGCACTCTCGTCACTCATGTCTGTAGCACTCTCACCACTCATGTCTGTAGCACTCTCGTCACTCATGTCTGCAGCACTCTCACCACTCATGTCTGTAGCACTCTCGTCACTCATGTCTGTAGCACTCTCACCACTCATGTCTGTAGCACTCTCGTCACTCATGTCTGCAGCACTCTCGCCACTCATGTCTGTAGCACTCTCGCCACTCATGTCTGCAGCACTCTCACTACTCATGTCTGTAGCACTCTCGCCACTCATGTCTGTAGCACTCTCGTCACTCATGTCTGTAGCACTCTCGCCACTCATGTCTGTAGCACTCTCGCCACTCATGCCTGTAGCACTCTCGCCACTCATGTCTGTAGCACTCTCGTCACTCATGTCTGCAGCACTCTCACCACTCATGTCTGTAGCACTCTCGTCACTCATGTCTGCAGCACTCTCGCCACTCATGTCTGTAGCACTCTCGCCACTCATGTCTGTAGCACTCTCGTCACTCATGTCTGTAGCACTCTCACCACTCATGTCTGCAGCACTCTCACCACTCATGTCTGCAGCACTCTCACCACTCATATCTGTAGCACTCTCACCACTCATGTCTGTAGCACTCTCACCACTCATGTCTGTAGCACTTTCGTCACTGTCTGCAGCACTCTCGTCACTCATGTCTGCAGCACTCTCACCACTCATGTCTGCAGCACTCTCGTCACTCATGTCTGTAGCACTCTCACCAGACTGTGGTGATCCATCTGCTCGTGGAATCGCACACAGGCTCCTATAAGCCATTGGCAATGTCTGCCTTGTTATGCATCAGTATTCCACCACGTTGTGTAGAGCCAGCCAGTCTGTTCGCCCATTCATTTCCCAACACTCTACATGCCCCGGAGAAAAGATTCGACAATGCGCGTTAGCCATGACCTCTGAAGCGAAGCATGCCACACTGTACAATGTATCACTGTCCTCGCCTTCCTCGGCATGCTTTCTGCGTCAGTTACAATAATGATGTGTGTGTGTGTGTGAGAGAGAGAGAGAGAGAGAGAGAGAGAGAGAGAGAGAGAGAGAGAGAGAGATCCAGTTCTCTTGCCAGAGAAAAGCTGCAATGACCGCCTCCGCCTCCATTCTTAAGCTGAATGTTGGAGTATAATATGCTAGGTTCTCCTTCACCAAACGGTGACCATTAGTTTCTGCTAAGAACCCCCAGCACTTCCTTTGCCTCTTGACTCTAAACCGTCTGTATAAATATTAGCATCATCGGAGCGAGCATTATGCTGAATTATTTAACGAATTTCCACCTCTGTGACACCGTTTGGTGTCTAATGAACATGATGACTACGTGGCTAGTACAGTCTTCACTGACTGTATGTTATTTTAACCCACCAACTTCCGCAAACCCGGAGAAGAAAATCCATCTCCTTTTCGAGAATTCGAGCCTGCGTATCCCTAAGGAGAGTCCAGCGTTCTTCGCCGAACTATCTGGCGCTCCTCTAACATTCACTCAGTTGATCTTCATCAAGTACCTTGTCGGCTGACGTGGGCGATCATACCTCTCCACGGTCTGCGGATCTTCAATAACATGTACCAGTTCTTGTGCTGACACCCCTCAATGAGCGAAGGTTGTCAAGAAACTGTCTGTTTCACCGGGGTAAACGCGAGGCGAAGAGCATTTCTTTTTGTTTGCATAATTCTGGATTAAACCGGTTTAAAGCGGTCGCATCCACGAATCTCAGTAGTCTATGGTTGGCTGAAGTGTAAATAATTCGAAGTGCATATTTCTTGTTTACAGTGTGTCCAGAAATCAAAACATGGGACGCAATAGCTGATTGGGGATTTTTTTTCACATACCTGATTCGTTGTTGTGTAGTTGTTAGTGTTTTGCATTGCTTTTACCACGCATGGTAGATTATGTTCAGAAACCCATTTGTCCAGTCGTCTATCAGTTCTGCCCACGTATGCAGCATTACAGATTCATTTAAATTGGTAAATACAATTAGATTTGGCGTTCGTCGACACTAGTTCTTTTATTTCACTGGTGGCATAGGGAATACGGTGGTTTTTAAATCTGTTAACAGGCATGGCTGCGTAAAAAGTTATACTGACTGCTGTTTTGAGCCGTTCACATAGTGTTTTAATGTAGTCGACTGTGTGTTTCAATTCAAAGCATTCATCTGTTTGCTTCGCTTTAATCAATTGTTACTGTTATATAAGGCAGCATTTCATAAGATAAAAAGAAAAATTGTGTAATAAATTACTCGTTAAAAACCAGAAAACAAGTGCTGAAATAGTATATCGAGCATGTTTAGTTGTATGGCAGTGAATCTTGGAATGTGAGCAAACAAATTAAGAGGAGTTTGGAGGCAAGTGAGATGTGGTTTTTTTTAGAAGAATGTTGCGAATACTTTTGACTGCCGGATTGCGTAACAATGATTGAGTGGAAATGGCTTATGAAAGTAGAACATAATACATCGCAAAGAGAAGGAGACAAGCAAAGTTCTTTGGTCATGTGATGAGAAAAGGAATGCTAGAAAATTTTGTGACGACTGGAATGTTCCCTGGCAGAAAAAGGCAGCCGCAGACCAAGAGAAATTGTGGATGTAGATTAATACAGTCCCATGGATGAATATCATCAGTGGAATTGATCTAGACCACAAAAGACATGATATGTGCGGATGCATTAACGCCTACACCAGCTGGCAAGGCACTTGATGATGAATATGCACCTGACGAGATACAGCGAAATACGCCAAGCAATAAATTGTGCAATTTATTGTTTGTGTATTTTTTGTTAAAAGCTTTATTGTGCAGACGGTACCTGATTGATTGACTGACTCAACAAATACAACCAGTAATACTTCACTAAACTGCACAGTAATATCTTTGGGAAAAGAAAGAAAGAGTAAGTTTTACCCCCACTAGGACATCACACAGAGCGAAAACTCACAGTGACAAAACATGCCACCATGCAGATGAGGATCACCCGTGCAGAAGACCCGGATGCCTCCTTCAATCATTAAGTTTTATTAGGAAGCCCGGTGACAGCCGAGGTGAAGCTTTAAGAACATGAAAAATTGCGTCCCACATTGGGTCGACGGTAATTAAGAAGACGGCAATTCGGAATAAACATAGTACGCTAACGTACAAGGTCAGACAATTAAGTAATGAGACTAATTCCTTAAAAACTAAAATAATCAACATTTACAGATATAACCTTATTTTATTCAAAGTAAGCCTTTTGTGCATTGATACAGCCAATGGCACGATCTAACAAACACTGGAATGACCTCTGTAGTTCTTCTGTTGTTATGGCCCTTAAAATCGATGCTACGGCCCTTTGGATGTCATCAATATCGTCAAAGAAGCACCCTTTCAATGGTAACGTTAATTTTTGGGAATGGAAAATAACCTCTGGGAGACAAGTCTGGGGAGTAGGGTGGATGGTTGAAAACACACACTTGTTTTGGGGCAAAAAAATTCCAGAGCGGGTGCATTGTCACAAAGAAAAAAAACAAATTGCCAGGTGTTGAATACAAACCGGCAAGCAACTCCCCCACCCCCCCCCCCTTTTTTTTTCCACCCAAATCTTCCACTAAAATTTTACGAATAGTCTCTGTATTACCAGCAAAATCATCTATAATCATCCTCTCAGTCGAACAACGATCTTCTTGTATCCGTTCTTACATTATATTGTCATCCCTTTGTGGGATGCAATTTTTCATTATTTGAAACCCTACTCTGGCTTGTGCCAGGGGCCGCAATATAGCCCGGTCATAAATATGGTCTAATGGGACATCTCCACGGGTTATTCTAATCCACATAGTGGCCCTCTGTGTCACCGGGTGTTGATCGTACAATTACCAACCAATCTTTCCTCATTACGAACAGAAATTGGGCATCCAGGTCTAGTTGTATTGGTAATCATTTCCACACATCTTTTGAATCGTGAATACCAGATGAAAACCTGTGCAAGAGATAAACAGTTATCCCCATAAACTTATCGAACAAATTTAGGTGGTCCATTAGCGCTTTTCCGAGTTTAAAACAGAGTTTAATGTTAGCTTTTTCGCTCCATGCTGATTACATGACAATGCACCTCTGACTAGGTTAACAAATTGGCGGCTTGTTTGTTGTCTGCTTATCGAGTGGCGATGAAAAGTTGCTACATCATAGATGAAGGCTGTCTCTTTCTATTCCATGCTGTGATTCATAGATGGCATATTTGTCTTAGCCATAATTAAATCAGTCTCATTACTTAATTGTCGGACCTTGTATGAGACTGGGCTTTCGTAGTGTAGTGGTTGCAACTCTTGCCTGCTAGTCCGGTGGTTACAGGTTTAAATTGTTATTTTTCTGATTTTTCACTTCCTCTTTTACCGATGTTGATGGAGACATGAAGTTTAACTTCTTGCTCTTCTGGCTGCCTCGAATTAGTATTAATGTGAATGTTTTTCTGCAAAAAACTGATACAACCTGTCTAAAATGAGCACTAGGAAATATCAAAAGAAGTAAAAGACGACTGGTGTTATGTTGGTGTTTTGTTGGTGTAATGTTGACCACATCACACAAATCAATTATAACAATCTACGTCCCTCACATGGCAACCTAAGACTTAAGCGCCTGCTAGACAAGAGCCAACCTTTGTGTGGTGTGTGTGAGAGAGAGAGAGAGAGTGTGTGCGTACGTACTTACGTGCATGCGTGTGCATGCGTGTGTGCGTGTCTAGTAAACCTTGTTTGAGTAATCAACACACACCGTTCTCGCGGCAACATTGGTTCTTGAATCACACCAAGGAAGAGATTGCTGTCTCATTGCATAATATAATATTCCCAAAGACAGAAATGGATACACATATCTCTACCACTACTGAGATGGCATACAAAACAATGTAAACAAATAAAAAAAAAACAGTGGCAAGGAACAGCAATAGTTTAATATTTATAATGAAAACGTGATGTCAACATTGGTGTTTCCTGGCCAATCAAGAAGCAACAGTTTGGTTACTGGGAACATCTATGTGATTGTCACGTGACAAACGAGGTGTTTTGATTGAAGGTTCTCAGAGTTTTGGCTCCCCGGCACTGACTTCATCTTCGATGCCGCACTCGTTGGTGCCTCTCAGAATCTTGAAAAATCCTGCAAGAATATGTAACAAAACTGTTATTCTAATAGAGGTTTTCGTGGCGAAGTAGGTAAGCCGTTTGCTTCGTATTTTGAAGGTTATTAGTTTCAGTTTTCAACCCTGTCATGAGTTATACAGGACAGGTCGGTGGCTGGTTTAGGGCTTGGAGCTAGGATTTCACACTTTGTGCACGAACAGCTTAAATATTCAGTAATGTAGAGCAGAATAAATATCCACTGTCATCCCCATGTGGAAAGCAATTTTTCGTTATTTAAAGCCACACCCTGGCTTCTGTCGGGTGCCCTGAATATAGCCGGGACATAGATAAAGCCAAGCCATAAATATGGCCTAACGGCTGAAAAAGGTTTCTGGGACCTCTCCACTGGTGATCCTCATCCGCATGGTGGCACTTTGTGTCGCCGGATGTTTTTCGCTTGTGTGATGTCCTTGTGGAGTAAAAAGTCAGTCAGCAGAGTAAATGACCTTTTTCCACGTCTTGAGTCGTATTGGGCACATAGGACTAGACCATATTTTATTGACCAATCCTCAATCGGTGGATAATGTGGTAGGCATGACGCGGCCGCCTTTACTTCCTCAGACTTATACGGCTCCCATTTAAGACTGGGTCGACCAAGGAGCCAAAGTCAATTTAAAAAAAATAAAGTTCGGTTTCGTTCGAATTGAAACCCACGACCTTTCGGATGTAAACCTACGACCTTTCGGATTCAAACCCATGACCTTTCGGATTCAAACCCACGACCTTTCGGATTTAAACCTACGACCTTTCGGATCCGCAGACGAGCATCTAGCTACATCACGATGGCGCCCATTGTGTCATGTGGGGGTAAAATAAATTATCCTCAATGAAGACTGGCTACAGTACCCTTAGATAGCTTTGGGAATACAACATGAGGCCCTAGTCTCTTCTACGGTGCCGACTCTTGTACCATCGTACGAAACCCATAACAACATGTGTGTGTGAGTGTGTGTGTGTGTGAGTGTGTGTGAGTGAGTGTGTGTGAGTGTGTGTGTGAGTGTGTGTGTGTGTGTGTGTGAATGTGTGTGTGAGTGTGTGTGTGTGTGAGTGTGTGTGTGTGTGAGTGTGTGTGTGTGTATGTGTGTGTGAGTGTGTGTAAGTGTGTGTGTGAGTGCGTGTGAGTGTATGTGTGAGTGTGTGTATGTGTGTGAGTGCGCGTGTGTGTGTGTGTTTATATTTGTGAGTGTGAGTGTTTGAGTGTGTGTATGTGAGTGTGTGAGAGTGTGTGTGTGTATGTGAGTGTGCGTGTGTGTGTGTGAGTGTGTGTGTGTTTCACCCATCTGTCGCGGCTTGCCTGCAGATCAAAAGCTAGTGGGTTGAGATCTTGGCGGTATCGGACTTTTTAAAATGGCTTGGGCTCCCAGATGGACTCAGCCTTGATTGGGAACCAGGTGGCGACTTGGAAACTAAAGACGTCGCTGAGCACATCATCCACTCAGTGCCGACTGGTCTATAAAGTACAGGTCTAGCCCTATTCGCCCAGTATGTCTGAAGGCGTGGAAAATGTCCCTTAGAGGTCTGTCGAAAAATTCCAACATGCGAACTCAAAGATGGTGACATTGTTTAACCAAAGCGGAAGCTTTAGGTTATAATTATGAGTAGGCTATGTGCGCCATATCAAATGGCTTAGCACTGCACGCCGCCAAGAACCCTGACAAGGACTTCTACAGTGTTGATGCGATCTAAAGAGACAGGCCCAAATACTGACCCGATTGGCGACGAAGTTCGCCGATGTGTGAATTATAACGGACGTCGGAATTCTTTCTTATGTGACTGGCATCAGACTACTGTGGTGTCAAACCGTCAGATAGCTGCCGAGGAAACTTTTCTTATTTGACTGGCATCTAAATTACATACGAAGACAGCAAGTGAAATGGTTTGCCCACTTAGAGAGAATGCCTTGTGACACCATACCATGCATACATAGAAAGAGAAGAAGGACGTAGAGCACGAGGTAGACCAAGAACAGGATAAAAGGATAACATCAGAGAAACTCTGCAACAGCTCGAAGTGCCTTTGGTCGACCCTGCCAGAAGAGCTAGAAACAGAACCTTATATCTCCCTCGACACCCACAGCGGTAAAAGAGGAAGTGAAGAAGAATAAGAAGAAGATCTCACTAATGACACATCAGGTTAGTTTAGTGTCCAACCGTCAGATAACGGGCGTCGGAATCCTTTCTTTTTTGACTGGCATCCAACTCCTGACGCATCAGGTGACTGTGTTGTCAAAACTTCAGATAACGACCGAGGATCGCACAGAAAAGATACTGGCAGAACCTTTGGAGAAAGTGTAGAATGCAAGATATTGATGTCAAGACGAAGGGTAGAAGGCTAACGGGAAGATCACTAACTCTTTCGATATGTTGCAGCTTATCGTTTTGTTTAGACAGTCCGAAGACAGTAAACATCTACGGCTCTTTTATAATGGCCCCACGGGGTCCTGCATCTGCACAAGGCTGAGGTGATCTCTGATCTCTGGGATGAGGAACATGGAGAGAATGGTGCAGCGGGGAGTTTCGCGGGGCTCTGGATGCCACTCGAGACTCGTGGGAAAGGCACGACAAGTAAAACCAGATGGCAACAGGTGCCTTCAGTGTGGAGACGCTTGGCTTGCTGTAGGGGAGGTAGACAGAGATAACAAGGGCTTTTCCTGAATGCTGTGATGTCAAATCTGTATCCGGTTTACCTTTTTTTTTTATCGAAGATAGTTGTTACATTAACTCGTTGTATCCGAATTGTTAGCTTTATTCTTTCAACGAGTATGGTGTTATTATTTTAATATCTTTGAACTAGAATACTGGCTACTATAAAACATAACTTTGTGGGATAGAAGTTGATGAAGAAATCACAGGTTTAATCATGCATCTCAGACTAAATGAAAAGAACTAAAGAACAATCTGTGCGGGTTCCTGTGTCCCATTATTGGGTGAACAAGGAAATAATTACTGCCTTTCTTTCAAGCATGTCGTAAAAAGCGACTAATTTTGGATTTTTCCTCTGAACTAACCACTAAGGCGCCTATTGACTTCTTCCACCTCCGCGCACGCTCTGAAAGGGCAGTTTGTCCTTTCACTTTGTGCTGTGTTCTATAGTTAGGCTTTGATTTTTTTTAATTAGTTGCGTATCCTTTACAGGACGTTGCAGAACCAACCCCAGCGCTTTCTGGCTGTTGTGGTTTTTCTAGGCAAAATTTACGTCCAGTGGTTTGCCATTGCCCCTGGACGGTCGGCTCTCGGTACCACGACATGCTTGTAAAAGAGGTAGTGAGTCTATCCCTCCACCTCCACCCCACTTCATCTCCCCAGAATGAAACTCCTAGAACCCACCAGCCATTACAACTATATTATTTACGACACATCAATGGACTCAATGTTGTGACGCACAGTTGATTCAATAATGGTAATTTACCTTTATCTAATTGGTAACGGATGGAAAGTTGCCTAACTTACCTTTATCACCCCAGTCTTCATTCCACGAGTTTGCCACCAGCCAGTATTTGTCTCCATTTTCCACGCCATATCCGATGATTTTGATTGCGTGCCCACCCAGTGCCTCTCCGGTTGTGTGCCTGTAAACACCTGGTAACAGAAACAACATTCAAGTTATGTAAACGTCGGTTTTAAAAAAAAAGTAAAGGACCCTTTTCCACGCCTTAGGCATATAGGGCTAGACCTATTTTTCATAGACCAATCGGCACAAGATGGGTGATGTGGTCAGTATCACGCCGGCTGCCTTCACTTTCCCGGGACTGCACGCGGTACCCACTCAAGGCTGGGTCGACCTGGGAGCCAAGGTCATTTTTGAAAAAAGTCCGTCTCCGCCAGGGAGCGAACCCACAACCTTCCGATCCGCGGCGATCGTCTAGCCGCTCGGCCACGGCGACTCCCATACGTATGTGTGTATCTTCTTCTTTTTCTTAGCGTTTACCAGCTATGCAACGGCTGTTTATGTTTTGCAACCAGAATTACTTTTGGATCCAGACTGTAAAAGTAAAGTAAGTAAAGATCCCTTTTCACGTCTTTAGGCGCATCGGGCATATAGACAGAGCTCCCATATTTTTACAGACCAATCGGTACTAGGTGGGTAATGTGGTCAGCATTTGGCCAGCCGTCTTTACTTCCTCAGGACATACATCCTGGTACCCATTTGCTTCTGATGAGTAACAACCGACCCGGCTGGATCGAGATACCTGCTAAGTGATTTTGTGTATTGTTTAATTTGTATATTCTGATGGAGGCTCACTAACCGCAACGTTCACGTTGTGTTTGTAGTTGTTATATTGTGAATCTTGCTAATTTACTTTTCGTTCGGTTTTATATCTTTTCTTAGTACCCATTTTAGGCTGGGTCGACCTACGACGCACCATACCATGATTAAAAAAACCACGGAGCCAGCAGTGGGTTTCGATCTCGGTAATTTGGAATTACGAATCGGACTCGCAACGCCTAAGCCACGGATGCCGCTTTGAATCTAGACATTCTTATAAAATGAGTACTAGATAATATTATGAAATACGTGAGGAATGTAAACAGAGGGGAAAAGAAATGACATCTCATCGTCTTTATCCCCGGTCTATAACATACTGGTCTTTCATACCTCAATAACTGTCGAAAGTCCTGATTGTTCATCGACTTCTGAACATAAATCTCGTTCCGGAACCTGAGTTTTGCATGTACATCAGTTTTACAGATTTGGCTTACTTTATACAGACTGTTGGTTTCTCGCCTCTTAGACAGATACACTTTTTTTTAACCCAGAAATCATGAGTTGTAAACCCTTTGGTTCGAAACTATGGATATCGCAACCCTTCGGCCCCGATTCCATGATAGATACCGTAAATCTGGGAAATATATGGCTTTTCTGCCTACCCCTGAGCGTGAACTCAGACCACAAGAAGTTTGTCACCCGGCCGCCGTGCAGCTGGTTTAACCAACTTAGCCAGCACGCCGGGCTTCACTTCGACTTCGAAGGAAACATCCATAAATAATCTTTTACAAAATAATGCTGGTTGGCGGCGGAAGCAGTCGTTCGACTCCCCCCCCCCCCCCCCCCCCCCGTGGCGCCCCTACACGAGCACATGTGTGTCAGTTTTCGCTAAGTAGAGCTTTTATTAAATTATTTATTTGTGTATTTATTTACTAAAACCAGTTCATACTGTTCACTAAAGATCAACAGATGAAAAGAGTTGACGAGAATTCCCTAGTACTAACTGCCACAGAGAGCCGGAATGGAAAAAAAATACAATTAACACAGAGGAGAAGTCTCAATGATCAAGAAAATGGTAGTGGCTTTGGTGATGGTAACGATTAATCTTTAAAGAAAAGGAAAATTTTGAAAATTAGAATGGTGGGTATAAAAATAATAACGACGATGACCATGATAATGACGACAGGGATTAAGAATGATGATGAAACTTACCAGATTTGTACGACAAGAAGTCGCTGTAGACCGTGAAGGCCGCAGTAACAGGGCCATTGTCCACTAGGTCCTGCATGATCTTCTCCACTCCCTGGAGACCGTAGGAGGATGATCCTGTGAACCAGTTCAACAACACAAGCTCAGTGACAGACAACTGTTCAACAACACAAGCTCAGTGACAGACAACTGTTCAACAACACCAGCTCAGTGACAGACAACTGTTCAACAACACAAGCTCAGTGACAGACAACTGTTCAATAAGACCAGCTCAGTGACAGACAACTGTTCAACAAGACCAGCTCAGGGACAGACAACTGTTCAACAACACCAGCTCAGGGACAGACAACTGTTCAACAACACCAGCTCAGGGACAGACAACTGTTCAACAACACCAGCTCAGGGACAGACAACTGTTCAACAACACCAGCTCAGTGACAGACAACTGTTCAACAACACAAGCTCAGGGACAGACAACTGTTCAACAACACCAGCTCAGTGACAGACAACTGTTCAACAACACCAGCTCAGGGACAGACAACTGTTCAACAACACCAGCTCAGGGACAGACAACTGTTCAACAACACCAGCTCAGGGACAGACAACTGTTCAACAACACCAGCTCAGGGACAGACAACTGACTATAAGAAAAAACAGCCGTGTGTAGTCACTTTTATAGCTGCTTGGCTAGTTGCGAATCTTTGGCAACATACTGAGCTGTGACCAGGGGCGCGGGAACCTGCTGGCTTATGCACATTTTCTTAATTACCATCAAGTACTATTATTATTATTATTATTATTATTATTAATATTATTATTATTATTATTATTATTATTATTATTATTATTATTATTATTATTATTATTATTATTATTGAGCGCTAAAATCAAGAGGCTCAGACCCCGCCGTTTTCTTATCTAGTCGCCCTGGATATGACTCTAGTGCAGTGACCTTCAGGTTGTCTAAAACCCGAAAAGAGCTTGCATCTCCAGGATTAAAGTAGCATGGTTGACTTCTCCACAGATGTCCATGCTGAAGCTACAGGCCTAAGTTCTCGGTGTGATGCTCTTGGCGGTGGTGGTAATGCTTTGCTGGGGGAAAAAATTGTCACGTTTAACCAACATCCCCGAAAGGGAAGTTTTAGGTTATATTTGTGACTAGGTTAAGTGCACAAAATGAAAAGGCACAGCATTGCACGCCACCAAAAGCCACGAAAAGGACTTCTGCGGAGTTGATGCGACCAAAGGAGCAGACCCAAATACTGTCCCGACCGGCAACGAAGTAGTCTACCGACGAGCTAATGACCAGCCCGGTCACCGATGGATGCTCTTCGAAGACAGACAGAGCCGTTTGGGATAAATCCAGGTGCAGTACAGATGATTTGCTCGCCTTTAAACATTTCTGCTGGTTTGATATAGAATACCTACTTCATCCATGGGGACGATCAGAAAGTTATCTCACAGCTGACTCAATAGCACTTTTCGGGGTTGGAATGATAATTAACGCTTACCCTTGGCTCCATTTTGAATCCGTAACGACGCGATTATCACTATCTAATCTAAATGGTGTTTCCCGTTCGGACCAAGAGGGAAGGACGAGTTCCATTCTAAACTGACTTAGGACTGTTGATCGATGAGCCGCCATTGTAAAATATCCTTTGTTTTAGGATCAGATTTCTGGCTCTAAATGTTATGATACTTCGTTCAAACTTGTTAACCTAAAACATGTGGCAACGAACTGTCAGACACTAACAACTAACTAACGAACGAACTAATTTAATCTACATGGTGAGGTGCTTTTTTACTTGTCATTTGCTGACCAGACAACGTTACAATTTTGCAAGATCATGAATGAATGGTAGCTTTTTGGATAACACACGTTGCCTTACTGATGGCGTTTTTATTTTGGCTACAATAAACCCCCCCCCCCCCCTCCCCCCAATACCTGCCAATTACTGCCCTTATTATACCATGTGTAGGTAGAGGGGTCTTTGAGCCTGGGGTTTTACGGCTACATGGCTAGTGCTGTTGCCACGACTGTGCATGTGAGGATTTTATCAATAAAAATCAGTCTTAATAATTAAATGTCGAACTATGTGGTCAATATCGTGCACTGTTAGTTGTCATTTGTGTCCATAACTTTTTTTTTTTTTATCATTTCTCTCCTGTCTCTCCTCTCTCCAACTTATTAGTACTTTTATTATTAAGAGAAGGAAGAAGGAAGGAATTAACAACTTAGTGAAAGGAAAAGAGGAAGCAGATAACCGAAAAGTCAAAAGAAGGAAATGACGGACGGACGAAGAGAAAGAAGGATATCATGGCTGCCAGTGACCGACAGTGACTAACCTCTCCTCTTGTCTTCTGTGTACGTCCTGTTGTAACCACTTCTGCAGGCAGACTTGCAGGTCGGTGTTTTAGAATCGCCAGTGCATGGAGAGTATTTTCCTGTTGTGTGATGGTCACAGTGAGGTAGAGAGTATGGCTTACATCCCTGTTTGATAGAAAATATTCAAAGCATTAAAAAGGGTAGGATCTTACGAGGTGTTTATGTGTGCGTGCATCTGTGTGTATGTGTGTGTGAGTGTGTGTGTGTGAGACTGTGCGTGTGTAAAGAGCAGTTTTGTGTGCCACATGCCCTCATACATAGGTACTTCAGAATCTTCCCATTTAACACACCAGGAGACTTTCTGTACAGTGCACGTAAAAGTAGCGATTCAATCAATCAATCAGGTACCGTCTCCACAGTGAAGGTTGACCGCAATGGATCTTCAACATGCTTTGTCTTTTGTCCTGGTTGTACAATCTCTCAGACTTCTGCCTGTCTATCTCTTGATGTTGTCCTCCCACGTGTTTCCTTGTCTACCTCTTGCTCTTTTGCCTTCGAACTTTAACTTCATTATGGTTTTTTAAAGTGTGTTATGTCTTTTAATGTGGCCAAAGTATTTCATTTGTCTCTTTTTTATTTATTTCAGAAATTCTCTTTTCCTTTGTACCTTTCCAGAAACTATGTGTTGGGTTGTTTTTGTTTCAATGAAATACAACCTATTCTTCTGTATACCCATATCTCCAGAGACTGTTCGATTTTCTAGTTACTTGTTCGTTGACTGAAAATACATAACATTTGATAATTCTCATTGTTAGTGTGTGGTTTATCTCTCTAGCTGTCAGTAACTTGTACATCTTATTGAAGACAGTTTTAGCCATTCATATTGTCTTTTTGATTTCTGTTTGGCTTCTTCCATCATCTGTTACTGCATATCCTAGATACGAAAAACGTGTTATTAGTTCTAATAGCTTCCCATTACTGCAATGTTCACTGTTGGCCGCTCTTTTCCGTTCTTAATTACCACAGTTTTGTTTCTTCCGAATATTAATGTCCAAACCATCCGCCTGTTGACTTGATCAACTAGTTCTTGTAACTCCTGCTTGCTTTCTCCTAGTAGCATTGTGTTATCTGCGTATCTCAGATTGTTTATTGTTCTACCATTAATATACAGTCCAGGCAATTCCTCAACATGTTTAAAAATGTCTTCTGTATATAAGTCCAAGTCCAAGTCCTTTTGAGAGAAAAAAAAAAGCTCGACCACGTTCAGACTGCTGCCTAGGCTGCTAGCAGTCTCCGCCTATATTTGTGGTCTGGGTTATTTGCGTCACTTTCGTGACTGAATACTAGTGTTTGTGCCATTTTTGGGCTTGATGCTTCCACCCGAATCAAACCGCTCGTCCTGTTGTCACTGGTGCATGCCTTCCTTCTTCTTTCTTGGTGTTTCCTGTTTATAAGTTGAAAAGGCTTGAGGATAACACACATGCCTGACGTACTGCTATTTTTATCTTTATCTGTGGTGAGGTGATGTTGTTGTGCCTAATCGTTGCTACTTGTTCCCAGTATAGGTTACTAATAATTATGAAATCCTTTCCATCTAATCCTATATTTTAGAGTCATGCAGTTAGCTTTTCATGTTGCACCCTGTCAAAGACTTTCTTGTAACCAAATAAATACTTTTCTGGACTTCTATACATTGTTCAGTCAGCATCTTTAAACAAATTATGGCTTCCCTAGTGGCACTATTTTGTCCAAAATCCAAACGGTTCCTCAGACACTTCATTATTAATTTTATCTTCAATTCTTTCTTGAATGATCTTGAGAAGTATTTCAGTTATATGGCTCATCAAACTAATTATTCTATAACCTTCACACTCAACGGCTTTTGACTGTTTGCACAGTCTGATGAAAATAGACGTTTTCAAATCCTTTGGAACGTAGCAATTATGAAAAATAAAATACATGTGAAAACTGTACGAGTTAGAGACAGTTCCCCCCCCCCCTGCCCCCCCCCCCCCCCCCGCCTTGGGCTGTTAACATTTGATACAGCCTCATCCCTCCAGCAAGTGAAAGAGCCAACACTTCAGATTCTAAAACGTCGCCTCAACAGGACAGATCGCAGATACTTTGTTCAACTTCCTAAGAAATAACAAGTAACAGCTACGCCAAGTACTGCCCTGGTGTAACATATCCTCCTAATAATTACACAGAATAAAAAAGATTGTTGTTTGTATTGAGTTCAAGACTAATCATGGCCATAGAAAGAAGAGTTAATTAAACAACACACGCGTCTCTTTTGGTTAACAATGGGTCATATAGGATTATAGAAATGAGAGTCAGGGGACATGACGACTTGTTTTTTGGAGGGAAGCTGGAACCTGGGAGTTCAGGTATCTTCGACATCCACCTGCCAGTTTGTCATGTGACTGAGCTACTCTTTCCTTACCCTTTCCACGTACTATCTTCAAAAGTTATCTGTTTTGTTTTCTTTGTTGTTTTACTTATACACATACGCAATTATTCCAAATATATTATTATATTTACTTGCCTTTCAGCATATCATGATCACTATTATTATTAGAAGCCACTAATTTTGTTTGATGTTTACCACTCACCTGGTTTGTGCCGTACTGTCCACCAGTTACAATGCCAGTTTTTTCATACCAGTCATACACTGCAGAGGGAAAGCCACCGTTGCATCTACAACAGCAGAGAGATGGGAAGATTTATATGGTCTATTTATGTTTATATGTTGTATTTTGTGTTTACAGAAGACAGTTATTCATGAAGGGTCCTGAGCAAGAATAACTGGTAGCTCAGCGATCGATGTGAAATACTGGTTAAGTTAAGTTGAGTCAAGAATTGACATCACAGCACTCAGGGCATTCCCATACGCACTCCCCCCCCCCCCCCCCCCCAATCCTCAGCAGCCAGCGCAGAGTTCCAGTACTAATAGTGCCAGTCGTAGTCTGGTTTTATGTCCGTCTTGCCTTTCCTCTGAGTGTAGTGTGCCAGCCGAACCCTCTGGTCATACCTAGGTGCATCATTCTCTCCAGCCCATAATAATCTAGTTTCTTCTCTTACTTCTTTACTTGTTCCCAAAGGGCTCTGACCAAATGTGACTTGTAATGTATCAATTCACCACCCAGCGGTGCAGATCTAGGCAGTCTGTCTGCCTGTTCATTCCCCACCACACCGGTATAGCTTGGAGAAAAGATCAAAAGGATGCTCACTACCTGTGTGTAATACTGGTTATTGTCCTTCCGTGGGAATCATCAGTGAAACTTTTATTAACTGGCAGCTAGAGCATACAACATGAGAACAGCAGTCTACAAGGCAAGAGGCCGAAAAATGCTGGGCTTGGTTCTGCAACGTCTTGTAAAGGATACGCAACTAACTAAAACACTGGCTGTAGTCAGGGGCCTTAATACAATGAACTGTTGAAAAGGGTTTCTGGGACTTGTACCTGGGTGATTCTTATCCGGATAATGGCACTTTGTGTCATCGGGTGTTTGTCACCCGTTCTGCGGTCCTGGTGGAGTTGAACATCATGTACTGGTTTACTCCGTGTGGGTTCCGGGGCCCTATTTTAGGGAAAACTAGAATAGACCCACTGCCTACCCAAAAGCATGTCGTAAGAGTTGATTAATTGGGAGCTTCCTTCGAAGTCGGAGTGCATCTGCCTGAGAGGCAAGGAACCAGCAGTCTACATACAAATGAGTCAGATTTGTAAAACGGATGCACACGCAACACTCAGGTTCTGGAACAGGACTGCAGACCAAAAGTGGATGAACAACCAGAACTTTCCGCCAGAGTTTACAGCTGGTGAACATGAAGAAGAAAAAGAATATACTGGTTTACTATTATAATGATCACATAGCTTCTCCCCCCCACCACCACCCCTGCCCCACCCCCACCCCACCCCCCACCCCCCACCCCCACCCCTCCCCTCACCCGATTGGTGATCAGGTGATTGGTGCTCTAGGGCAACGGCTCATTATTTAATTTTTCTGTTGCAACCATTATCACTTTTTGACCCAGACAGTCTTATAAAATGGGTGCTAGATAATGGAAAATGTAGACAGCGATATAAAGAACTCACATTTAACTGTCTTTATTCCCGGACTCTAGGACGCTAAGGACTTAAACATTTCCTACCTCAATAACTGTGTACAAAGTATAAGGCACTGGAACAGAAAATAACCACATGGGAAATGTGCTATCGCCATATAAAATCACTAACAACACAAGATCGGACAGGGTTACTAAACGGGGAAGGGGGAAAGGGCTAACTGCCTTGCTTGAGATGATCTGTTTCTAGTTGAAAATATTATGGTTACCCTACAAATAACTCTTCAATCATCTTTTATAATAGCAGCCGCCGTGGTGTAGTGAATAGATGCTCGCCTGCCGATCGAAAAGTAATGAATTCAGGTCCTGACGTGGCCAGACTTTTTTTTTTTTTTTCAAAAATGACTTTGGCTTACAGGTCGACCCAGCCTTAAATAGGTACCAGGTACAGTCCTGGGAAGTGAAGGAGGCCGGTGTGATACTGACCATATGACCCACCAAGTGCCTATTCGTCTAAAAAATATAGGTCTAGCCCTATATGCCATATACGTCTGTAGGCGTGAGAAATGATTCTTTACTTTTACTTTGCATCTTTTATAGTTATTGTATGCAACCTATAGGAGCCGGATAATAAGTCAATTAACACGACCTTTTAGCGTTCAGGTGGTTGTGTGGTCGTCCCGTTGCTTAGCTGAACAACAAAAATCGTCACGTTCAGCCAGCATCCCCGAAGGGGGAGCTTTAGGTTGTAATGACTAGGTTGTGTGCGCAATATAAAATTGGCTTAGCATTGCTCGCCATCAAGTGGCCCTGAAAAGGACTCCTGCAGTGTTGATGAGATCACAAGAGACAGACCCAAGTACTGTCATGACCGGCGACGAAGTCGTCTATCGGCCAGCGACCCGGTTGCCGTGGATTATGGGGTCAGATTCCCATTTTCTGTTTAATTACCCCCTGTGTTGACAGGTTGATTCCGCCTAAAACAAGTATCTGGAAATTAGTAGAAGCAGACGGCGTGATACCAGGTACCCATCAAGAGTCGATTGGTCCTTAAAATTTACTAACCCCAATAAAAAAAAGTCCAAAAAATTTACTAGCTCCATAGAAAAATAGTATATTTCAAGGCATAGAAAAGGCTTAGAGGAAAAAGAGAAGCTCCGAGCTTTCTATCACATTTCAGGTTGTTATGTCATTGACTAATTAATTACAGACAACAAGGCGTCGCTTCTCCGATGACGGTTGATTGTCATAGACCTCTAACAGTCTGTCTCTCGCCGTGGTTTCTTCTACCTGTTGTGTAGACCTTCAACCAAATCATGCTAAGTCGTTCTATCCTTCGCTATTGCATGCAGCTCACTCCATGTCCTTTACCTTTACTCTTTAGATCCCTTCTTCATTTGTGTGTGTGTGTGGGGGTGTGTGGGGGTGGTCTGCTTTTATTTCTATGCCTCTGTGGGTTCCGGTGCAAAAACATTCCTGTTTTTTGTTCTCAGGTACGTTTTTTTTTAAGCGCGTGTCCTGTCCGAGGCCAGTGTCTTTTCTTCACCTCTTGGTCCACTGGAACTTGTTTGGTTCTCTACCAAAGCTCAAAATTAGTTGCTTGTTTGCATTCACCGGCTGTAAGCCCAAGCGAAAAGACCTGGTTGTTCGTCCATTTCCGGACTTTGGCTTTGTTTCAGGACCTGAGTTTTGCGTTTGCATCCATTTTACAGTTCTTGCTTATTTATTTGATGACAGTTGGTTCCTAGACCCTCAGGCAAATGCACTCCGACTCTGACGGAAGCTCCTAGTTAGTCGACTCTGACGGAAGCTCCTAGTTAGTCGACTCTGACGGAAGCCCCTAGTTAGTCGACTCTGACGGAAGCCCCTAGTTAGTCGACTCTGACGGAAGCCCCTAGTTAGTCGACTGTGACGGAAGCCCCTAGTTAGTCGACTGTGACGGAAGCTCCTAGTTAGTCGACTGTGACGTCATGCTTACTGGAGTGGCAGTTAGTTTATTCTTGTCCCCCCTCCCCGCCCCCCACAATGAGACCCCGGAATCCAAACGGGGATCAACAGTAGTGATTATATCATACCATTTAATACCCTCGGTTTCACCACTTATAAACATGTGCATTTATACGAGGATATACTGACCCATTCCCGCAGGCTATGCAACAATCATTGACGTCTTCTGCCGAGATATGGACTTGGCCTCCACCTTTGATACAGATCCTGTCTGTGATGGCTTCAGCAGCCCCAAAAGCCTGTTTGAAAAGTCACAAAAAGTTTCTTACAGCGTTCTGCATAAGAGTCACAAAAAGTTTCTTACAGCGTTCTGCATAAGAGTCACAAAAAAGTTTCTTACAATGTTCTGCATAAGAGTCACACAAAAGTTTCTTACAACGTTCTGCATAAGAGTCATAAAATGTTTCTTACAGCGCTCTGCATAAGAGTCACACAAAAGTTTCTTACAGCGTTCTGCATAAGAGTCACACAAAAGTTTCTTACAGCGTTCTGCATAAGAGTCACACAAAAGTTTCTTACAGCGTTCTGCATAAGAGTCACACAAAAGTTTCTTACAGCGTTCTGCATAAGAGTCACACAAAAGTTTCTTACAATGTTCTGCATAAGAGTCACAAAAAGTTTCTTACAGCGTTCTGCATAAGAGTCACAAAAAGTTTCTTACAGCGTTCTGCATAAGAGTCACAAAAAGTTTCTTACAACGTTCTGCATAAGAGTCACAAAAAGTTTCTTACAGCGTTCTGCATAAGAGTCACAAAAAGTTTCTTACAATGTTCTGCATAAGAGTCACAAAAAGTTTCTTACAGCGTTCTGCATAAGAGTCACAAAAATTTTCTTACAGCGTTCTGCATAAGAGTCACAAAAAGTTTCTTACAATGTTCTGCATAAGAGTCACAAAAAGTTTCTTACAACGTTCTGCATAAGAGTCACAAAAAGTTTCTTACAACGTTCTGCATAAGAGTCACAAAAAGTTTCTTACAACGTTCTGCATAAGAGTCACAAAAAGTTTCTTACAGCGTTCTGCATAAGAGTCACAAAAAGTTTCTTACAATGTTCTGCATAAGAGTCACAAAAAGTTTCTTACAGCGTTCTGCATAAGAGTCACAAAAAGTTTCTTACAATGTTCTGCGTTGAATTTGTCAAGAGCACTAAGAATATATTTTTGTAGAGAATTACAATTAAATTGCGCTTCTCGACAGGGCACAGGAAGATTGTTGATGATAATAATAATGACGGTGTTGATGAATGTGGTAGTTGTCACGTCTATGATCGTCATGGGGGTGAAGGTGATGATGAATGTGGTAGTTGTCACGTTTATGATCGTCATGAGAGGGGGGGGGGGGGGTGACGGTGTTGATGAATGTGGTGGTTGTCACGTCTATGATCGTCATGGGGGTGACGGTGATGATGAATATGGTAGTTGTCACGTCTATGATCGCCATGGGGTGACGGTGATGATGAATGTGTTAGTTGTCACGTCTATGATCGCCATGGGGGTGACGGTGATGATGAATGTGGTAGTTGTCACGTCTATGATCGTCATGGGGTGACGGTGATGATGAATATGGTAGTTGTCACGTCTATGATCGTCATGGGGGGGGGGGGGGGGGGTGACGGGATTGATGAATGTGGTATTTGTCACAATTATGATCGTCATGGGAGATGACGGTGATGGTGACCAAACATGATAATGATTTTTATTTTGTCATTATTATTATTATTAAGAAACGATATAACGATAAGAAAATATATAAAACTAAACGAAAAGTATATCAGCAAGCTTCCCAATATAACAAACACAAACAAATTGTGAAGGTTGCGGCTATAGAGCCTTCATCAGCACATACATAAATCAAACCTCAGTTATATATTATTATTATTATTAGCGTTAGGCGTTACCCTTATTATTGGGGTCGTTAACGCCAAACTATCAGCTGTAAAAGAAAAAACACGAGGATGCCTTATACAGCTTTAACAATGAGAGATTAACCAAATGTTTGGGAGAACAGAAAGCTGACTGTCAAAATAAAACCATATGTCCCCAGACTCCTTTTTTAATGGCAATGAGGCTGCTTTCGAGTGCGGTGCCTACAAAGAATACCTGGCAGATAATAATATATTGGAAAGAGCAAGAATTAAGCAGTCTTCAATGCTCAGTCTTTGAAGGCTACGATGCATAGGACACAGCTGAAGGGTGAAGGATGGGATAATATCTAAGGTCTTCCTCAATGGCCGAATACAGATGGGTAGATGCTGTTCCGTTTGACGTGGGATATGAGGATGTTTACTATCGGGGCATGAATGATACATGTTTTATGGTAAATCAGTGGGAATACAATACCATGGGCTGTTTTGTATAGAGCTGGGAAATCAGAAAGAGAGTGTGAAATGTGACAATACGCTCGGTGACTTCAGAATGTCTTTCCTCAACGGACTTTAATTTATATGTATTTTAAAGTATACAGAAATAATATGGTTTTGGATACATCCTTAATCTAAGTAAGGCGACCAGAACAAACATTTAATTCCCCTGGACTGTTGGTAATATCAAACACTAAAACTTTTCCCAGACGTTAAGTGTTAAGGTAGTCTTTGTGACGCCTGTGAGTCTGGCCAGCTCAGACTTACTGGCTGGATATTTGCACACCATCTGTTGGTTGTCAGATAATTATCTTCTAGCCAGACCATTAGGAGCAGATAACTCCGGCTAATTGCCATTATCTAACCCTGAGGTTACCTAACTTGAAGGCAAGTCAGACGGTCACTATTGACATGGTGAGCCAAAAGTGCTGGCAGTTAAATTGACAGGGTCGAGTGGAGTTGTTAGCAAACAACTTACAGGTGAAGTAGACTGGAGGTGTGACTTGGCCTATTAGCTTTGACCAGCTTAATTGAACCTGTAGAATGTGACCGTGGAAATTCAAACTAGTATTGTACAGCCCTGACTGACAGCGAATAGACACCACAGGGAGGAGCTGTGACATCCTTGAATGAGAATGATTTTAGGAGTACTGTAGGAGGAGCTTGATAAAAGTTATAAAGGGGTGAACTCTAGGTCTGGTAAATGAGACTCTGTCCAACACATGCCATCTGTTAGGCTTAACCTAAGCTTGAGACAGAACTTTTGGCATTGTGGTTTCATTTTCCAGGTGAGAACGAAATTAGTTTCAAAACCTTTATTTTATTTATGATAGAGATCTAACTGTCTTTTTACTCAAGTGTGTGTCTTCATCACTTTGTAGTACTCCTAAGCGGACAATTCTTCATTCTCTTAGGGCACTGTAACATTGCTTTATATCCTCTTTGATAGTGTCATGAATGTTTTTCGTGCACATGTGTTTCAATGTTGTAAAACTTAAATGTTGATGTTACCATTGAAATTTAATGAACTATCATGTTTTTGAAATCACAAACGTGAAGATAACTTTGGCAATCTTGTCACGTGTGGTTAATGTTAATCTGTATTACATACAGCTAACACACTGAAATGTGTTTAACTCCCGGGAGGCTAATGCGGAGATTAATCCCGGAGAGTAGATCCTTGAGATTTCTTATTTGATTCGACCCAGAAATATTGTTAGCATGCTGTGCGCGACCATTGTTCCAAGCATGGATTCCAGAACTTGTTCTGTCTGACTGATTGTCATTTGAGTCTGTACGAGAAATGGCATATGACGTAGAAGACTTGACTATCATGACAGGACTTGTGTAGAGGAAGGCAGTAAATGTAACGGGTGGAATGTGAGACATAAGCCCTTCCAAATTGGACAGGAGTGAATGTGAACATGAGGGAGAGATGAAATGTTTTATTTAAATAAACATGCTTGATGTTATTATAATATACATGCTTAGTGTACACCTAGAGCAGATACTACAGATATGCGCTTGTTTCTTTATCACAGTTCCCACATTGGGCAGGGACTATTAGGCATCCATTCTTTGCCGACAGTCTGAGTGTAACGACCTGCTGAAAGCAGTGAGGACGACAAACTGGAAAAGAATAGGCAGGGTCTCAAGCCGAGAACTGTCCAAAGGTTGTTACTTTCCAATATATAATTTCAGTATCAATATCACCTTAACTCTACTAGCCTAAACAAGTTCATTTTAATTTCGATTTATTCAAATAAATCATGTTTGATGTTGTTACCAAATAGTTGAGTAAATTGTGTACTTAGGTTCAAGTGTCTTTGTGCATATTAGTTTACTTCAGCTAACAAATATTTAAATCACTTGATGGGGGCTTTTAAGTAATGCCAGGAGAGCAGAACAGTCGGAGGGGTTAACTGAGTATCCTGATATTATCTCAGTGGGTTCATCTTGATCTCTATCTATCCCTTCTCCTACTCCTGTGGATACAAGTACAGCAACTTTGATTTCATGGAACGAGCCACTCGCTGTTTTCTTGGCTATCCAGGACTGTCTAGGATCAACATAGCTTAGATATTAGTCCAGTTTCTCACGTGGGTGGGCATTGTTAAGGTTCAAACCCACACCCTCACTATATCAGTGTATTTACCCACGTGGGCGCGCGACATGAATAAAAGAAAACATGTTTGCAGATAGATTGAGAGCAAAGCAGAAATCTCATTCTTGAAATGTGGAATACTTGTCTTAAAGCGAACGAGTCTTGCTAGTCGCAATCGGCCTGTATTATGTAATAAAGATGTGTGCTACTAAGACAGCTGCCCCATTACCATCCCAAGAAACTCTTCATGGAAGTCCCTGTGGCAACATACGGATGTGAGTCGTGGACTATCTCGTCGTCCTTAAGAAAGAAAAAAGAGGCTTTTGAGCTGAAATGTTATAGAAAGATTCTCAGAATACTAGTATCATGAAGAAATACTGACGTTTTAAAAGATCTTAACATTAAGGAAGATTGGCTAATAAACAGCTTCTTTTCTCGGAAGCTGAAATATTTTGGTCATATCAAGCGCCATGACCGATTGGAACAAATAATAACAGAAGGCATGGTACCAGGAAGGAGGGGCAGGGATCGAACAACACGAAGATGGGCAGAGGAAAAAAAGTGACTCCTTGAATAAGAAAATATACCAGGCGGGGGAGCTGGCGAGGGACCGAGTTTCTTTCAGGCAGACCGTGATGAGGGCGACGTTCTGCAAAGAATCTGCTATATGTTGATGATTATGTTACTTAGGCATGAATGACACAGCTTAGGTGAACTCGTGGAATCGGGGTACCATCGATCGTGTTGCATTAAAAGAGAAGAGAGGTTAAATGTTAAAGTCTAGATAATCGACGTCATTGCATCAGGTTTTAGCCCATATGGCTCCATCTATCTCGCCTGCCGAGAGCGTCACACAGAGCACGAACACGTAGCTCCGGCAACGATATAAATGAGTCTCCCTAAAAATTGCACTCCTCAACCGAACTACACAACTGTGAATTGAACCCATGACCTTCAGAGTGCAAGGCAAACGGCTTGACCGCTTGGCCAGAGACCCCCAAAAAATAGAAGAATAAAGAGAAGGAGGAAAGGAGGAGGTTGGAGATTCCGATGAAGATTCGACACTATGATAATTAAGATCTTTATGCTTAAAATAACGACAACAGCCACAACAAACTTTAAAAAAAGAAAGAAAAAACTCACCCAACAGGAACCACAGTTAGACTGATCCCTGATCTCACTCAGACTAGGGCAGTTGGTCCATTTGGTCCTTGGGTCGAAGTTTTCTGGCAGATCAGCTCTGACCTGGACATCCTTGTAGGTGAGGTGTTTCCTGGCGATCAGATTCAAAACGTGTGGCCTTATATAAAAACTACAGACTGCTCACTTGAATCACGTACTGGATCATTCCGGCGTGGAGAGAATGGTGCAGCAGGGAGGCACCAGAGAATCTGGCCGATACTCTACACTCAGAGAAAAGGCGCGACGGACATGGAATCAAAATACTTCTGGTACCATCATCATTAGCAGTCGCCGTGCTGTTGGCGACTAGACGCCCGCCTGCGGATCGGAGGGTCGTTGGTTCGCGTCCTGACGGAACCGTACTTTTTTTTTCTTCTAATGACTTTGACTCCCAGGTCGACCCAGCCTTGAGCGGGTACCAGGTGCGGTCCTGAGAAGTAAAGGCGGCCGGCGTAATTCTGACCACATCATTCACCAAGTGCCTATTGGTCTATGCAAATATAGGTCTAGCCCTATATTCCCAATACGCCTAAAGATGTGGGAAAAGGACCTTTACTTGCCTTCAGCATTGAAACTCTTAGCTGGCTGCTGAAGATAATGAATGGCAATGTTCTGAGAGCTGTGATGTCGATTCTTAACTCCACATCCTGAAAAGTTCAGACAGCTGGCGCGATGGTGGCCACATCGCCCACTGAGTGCTACTGATCTATAGAAAATATTGGTCAAGCACAATATGTCTGGGAACCGCCGTGGTGTAGCGGCCAGACGCTCGCCTGTGGATCGAAAGATCGTGGCTTCGGGTCCTGACGGAGCCGGCCATTTTCCGAAAATGACCTTGGCTAGTAGCTCGACCCAGCCTTGAGTGGGTACCAGGTGAGGTTCTGGGAAATTTTGGCGGCCGGTGTGCTGCCGATTGGTGTGTAAAATATAGGTCTAGCCCTATATGCCCAATACGCTTGAAGACCGGTGTCAAACATATAGTGAGAAGAAGCACCCTAAACACAGCGATGACAAAAACAGTCCTAAGATCCCATGCTTTAACTGTCAGAAACTTTTCTTAACGCGGCAGGTCTTCCTTGTCACATTCGCCATCGCCATGGGCTGTGAGTCCCATGCCTCCTCATAGCAAAATACAACACTATCCACTGAAAAAAATGTGTAGGCGCGAACAACCAGGACAGTGTCGTGCTATGATACAGAGAGACGACCGCACTTTACTTTACAGTGTGCCTAATGCGCCAATGGCGTCCTCTACTGACTTTATTTAAAAGTAAGTATTTTTATTAAAAATTATGTCAAATATCAGTATTTTTGTCATGATCCTCGACATTCTAAGGGAGTCGCTGAGGTGTAGCAACTGGACGTGAGCCCGCGGATCCGAAGGTCGTGGGTTCAAATCTGAGCAAGTGGACTTTTTTAAATGACCTTGGCTCCCAGGTCGACCCTACCTTAAATGGATACCAGGTAAAGTCCTGGTAAGTGAAGGCGGTCTGCGTGATGCTGACCACATCACCCATCGATTGTTCTATAAAATATAGGTGTTGGCTTATATGCATAATATGCCTGAAAGTGTGGAAAAAGATCTTTTATGTACATCCTGTTCTAAGAGTTATTCTGCCACATGTAGGTTTGTAAATATTTAAGTAATTTAAAGTTTTTGCCAAAATTTCTTGTGACTGTAGTTTCAGCTGCCCTTAAACCCCATTATCTGAATACAGGAAAGTCGCTAACATTTAACACTGATAAGCCTGAACTACCTCTCTATTGAAAACAACAATCAGTACGTTGTACTGGTTTTATCTCTTCAAATCCATTCTACGTCCATACTTTAACAGCTTGTGCAGATCACACGATACATACAATAATGAAGACCACGTTTTCAACTCTCTTATCTAGAAGTAATTTATCTCTTACTTGAAACTGTCACAGCTGTGGTCACACAAGAGTCTGTGTTGTAATAAGTTAACATAAATTTAGGGAAGCCACAGTAGTCTAGCTGCTAGACGCTAGCTGTGGGTCGGAAAGTCGTGGGTTCGGGTCCTGGCGGAACCGGACTATCCTTTCAAAAATGACCTTGGCCCCCTAGTCGAGCCAACCTTGAATAGATACCAGGTACAGTACTGGGAAGTAAATGCGGTCGGTGTGATTTTAACCACAGCACCCACTCAGTGCTGATTGGTCTATAAAATATAGGTCTAGCCCTACATGCCCTATAGGCCTGGAGGCGTTGGAAGGTGACTTCACTTAATAGAAATGTGTGACACCGCGGCTACGTGGCGCAGTATGCACATCTAACTCACATAGTCCATGGTCTCAACCGGAGTGTGCATTTTTTTAGAAATAAGAAACAGTAAACACGCACAGAGGATTACGAGCGCTAACACAATGAATACACTGGAGGATCTCGGAGGACGTGGGGGAGGCCTTCCCCACTCACATGAGGAAGGGCTTAAGGACTTAAGCCTTATGACAAATAAATAAACATTTGACGTAATGACATGTATAAATAAATACTTGAAAGTCTATACATGGTTAAGCAAGGTGGGAGTTGGGGGGGGGGTCTCTTAGTCCCTGAACAACTTGGTCACTTAGCCCCTTAACAACTTTTATAGTTTTATGATTTGGGGTGGGACGGTGGTAACCATAATAAAATGTGGGGGAGAGGCAGAGGTGCCTCAGACCGCAACGCTTCAGGGCGAGTGTCGAGGATGTTTGTATGCACTGCCTTAAATCCTGAGTTCTGGGGAATATTGAGGTCAATGTCTAGTCAAGATAATACTTATTTAAAGAAAATCATAGTCAAGGAAAATGTGAAGGCAAGCAAGCAAGGGATAGCAGATATATAAATGAGAGAACAGCATCAAGTGGTTGAGGAAATGGAGTCTCAGAGGGTGTACAGCTAGGATACGAGACAGAGCGTGTTAAGAATCTATTGTAGATAACTTTCGCTGGGGACAGGGGCCTGATTGATTGGTCTAGCCGGCCATAAACTTCCCAGAAAATTTCCTTACACATATGTTTAAGCTGTGCCGACCTGGGTGCAGAAGTCAACTTTTAAAATCCGTCTTGATGAGGATTTTAACACGTCACCATCAAGTAGACAAGCAAGAGTGCTAGTCACTGCTCTAAGTGTTGTTATCCTTTACAAGATATGCTGGAGGAAAAAATTGGTGTAGGACATCGCAAGAGGGAGACAACGTTATAAGTGGGTGGGGATAGCAAGAGAGAGGGTGTATGCATATACACGTTTAGATACAGAATAAATTATGATTATAGTTTCGATAAAGTTGACCTCAATTGTAGAGACGATACTTAATGTGTGATACTGCGGCTATAAGGGAAACAGCTATAAAGACACCGCTGTAAAGTCCAAACAGTCTGAACTGTCTACAAAGGGACTCATGTTAATTGAGAGTTTATGCGTCTTTTGCGATTTGAAAGTTTAAATAAAAGCAAGATACTTAATGACGATAATCATAAATATGATGATGACGAAGTGGAGGATGAGAAGGGGGCTGCATTTACTGAATTGATATATACTGGTGTTTCTTCTTTTCTCTACTTCTGGAATGCCTCGCGGCATCACAACAGGAAGAGATCTCTGGAACATCTCCCTTCTGTTTGCTTCGTATAAAGTAATTTTCAGTGTCTTTGATAATTCTGGGGTCCATGTTCTGCGTGGTCGACTTGTGGCTCGGTTACCACTGCATCTGTATAAAATTGCTCTCTTTTGTGCCCTGTCTGATGCCAGTCTTGTTATATGACGAACTCATTTGATTTGTTGTTTTTTAAAAGGTTTATTAATGGTTCTCTGCCGACTCTCCTCCTATCATCGTTTATAAGTCAATATTTTCACGTTACATCTATAATAGTACTCAAAAACTTCATTTCTGTAGTGACTATTTTCCTTCTGTCTTCTGTTGTTTAAACACTGTATTGTTATGTCAAATCTTCTGCTGTCTTCTTTTAGAGCTATTTTCACTGGATTGCTGCTAAGCTCTCTTCCCCATATTCACTCTCATTAACCAATGGGATGTGCAAGACTAGCACTGGAATGTCACATCTGTAAAGAAGCACGGCGACCAATCTGATTAAGATTAACCAAACGGAAAACCTGGTTATTTAGCACGAGTGTGGCTCTGTGGCTTAGACGTTAGCCAATACAGTTATTATTTACAATTCAGTGTCTTCGTGGCGAAGTGGTTAAGTCGTTTTCCTCGCGCTCTAAAGTTCGGGGCTTTGTTTCATGGCTGCACCCTTTAGTTCACAAGTGCAATTTTTACAGTGATCCCCTGGGATCGTCGCCGGAAAACTACGGAGTTCGTGCTCTGTGCAGCACTTTCGGCAGGCAGCTAGCCGTTCTGTGGAGATAGACCGAGTGATATGGGATAAAACCCGATGCAATTATGTCAATCCTTTCGAGTACAGTGATCCTCCAGTACAAGGATTATTTCCCTGTTGTGTGCGTTTTTTTTTTTTTATTATTATTTTAAGGTTCTCTTGCTTTTCGGACATTGGTTTACGATAGTAGCACTGTGGAAAAGCATGGGACCTCATCGCGTAATTACAATGTAGCCAACCTTCATTGTAAAGACGGCACAGAATTTAATAATATCGCACAAACCTGTTGTATTCCATGTTCTCTGCAATGTTGACACCGCACATTCTCTTGGCTCTCGCCAGCTCGTGTGGGTAAAAGTTCCTGCCAGCCTGCAGACGATAGAATTTTAGTCTAAGACAGGGCGAAGAAATTATTCAATCATTGACAAACAACTACAGACAATCAGTCACAATACACTGGACAGACAACTACAGACAATCAGTCACAGGGCACACCAGACAATATATAAATGGACATCTAAATATATTGTAGCGTTAGGTAGATTTTATCTGTACGATCCAGGTTTTTGAAACGCCATTCCTAATAGCTTCGCGCTGTCGGAAGAAAAGTTTAAACTGTATTTGGATGTTGCTGCTTATGCAGTCTCCCACCCCCACCCCCACACCCCTACAGTGCCGCCTGGTACGGTCGTCTCTCTGTATCATAACACAGGACTATCCTGGTTGTTTGCGCCTACCCATGTGAAGTCGATAGTATTATAGTGTTCTATAAGGAGGCATGGGACTTTACCCACTATATGTTTGACACCGGAATTCTATAGCAGATCTGAACTGTGGTTGATTGATTGTGTTTTGTGGCAGCACTGTAATAATATTGGCTGAAGAAGATGATGCTAGATAAAAGGAAGGATAGATAAAATGGATTAATCTTCTTTAACTCTCAAGGTTTGATGCATATCTATTTCAGCAAAGGTCACAAACAGGACTGATCACCTGAGGCCTTAAATATTGCCATAGAGTTGTTCTGCAGGGTTGCTTCTGTGGGTTTGGTTTCTTCTCTATGATAGTGTAAAGTTCTGAGATAAGTGAATAGAAAGACAGGCAGACTGACAGACAGACAGATCTGGATTTTTACGTACAATTTATCGTAATGCTGACCACATTACCACATAGAGTTAATTGGTCTGTATAAATATGGGTGCTCTTCCCATATGCCCGATGCGCCTAAGGCGTGGAAAGGGATCTTTACTCTCGTACAATATATAATTGCTACAACTGAAAACAAAAATGACCAACCTTCCAGTTAACCCCAGACAAGTTATTGACGTAAAAAATCTCTTCATCACTCAGGGGATCAAACAGCAGCGACTTGGCAGAAGTCAACGCCACGAGGGCAAATATCGGCGCCAAGAATTTCATGCCTGCAGTTGTTTCTGCGATAAGCCAAAGAAAAAACAGAAGCTATGTATAGTATATTTATCTGTATTATTTGTAATAATATACTTACAGGTGCCGTACATGGATGATGTTAGGAAATTACATGACGGCACAGATTTTGTTTCTTTACAAATATTTGATGTATTTAGTGCAAGCATATACATAAAACTTTCTCGCACTCCTTAAGAAACAAAATTCGAATTTCTGAGGCTGAAATGCTTTAGACTGATTCTCAGAACACCATGGACAAAGAAGAGAAGAAATATTGGTATTTTAAAACATCTGAATATATAAGAAGATTGACTAATAAACAGCTTCTTGTCTTGGAAGCGGAAATATTTTGGTCAAATGGCGGATTGGAGAAAATAATAGCAGAAGGCATGGTACCAAGAAGGAGGGGCAGGGGCCGACCAACAACAATATGGACCCAGTAAATAACTGACTCCTTGAATATGAAAGTACACGAGGCGTGAGAGCTGGTGAGTGAGCGAGATTTTTTTTTTTTCAGGCAAACCGTGATGAGAGCAACGTTCTGTAAAGGACATGCTACAGAATGATACACATAGAGCAGTAAAAGAGGAAGAGGAGAAGAAGAATATACAGTATACCTGACAATAATTTTTAAGGGGGGGGGGGGTAGTAATCTTCCTAGAAACAGAGGAAAGCCGTAAACTAGTTAGATGAAGAGTCGCAAATGGTGAACATTCTCAAAGAGAAATACATTCGAAAATTTAGTGGTAACACTCAAGACGAATGAGAGTTGAGCTGAGTCTTAAGAACCAACATCATAGCACTCGGGGCATTCCCATAAGCGCTCCGTCTCCACCTTCAGCAGCCAGCGAAGAGTTCCAATTCCGATGGCACCAATAACAGTCTGATTCTAAGTGTGCTTGCCTTTCCTCTCAGAGTGGAGCGTCGGCTAGATCCCCAAGTCACTCCATGTTGCACCAAGTGTGCCTCCGCACTGTTTACTCCCTCCCAGAGAGCCTTGACGGCATCTAACTGGTCATGCACAGATTTCCCACCAACTGGCGCAGAGCCAGCAAGAATGGGAAAAGAGCGATACAAATCTGGAGGGGCTGACTGGTTTTACGTGGGCAGGACATCGAAACATTTCTTGTGTGAAATTTTGGAGACCATGTGAGATTGTGGTTTCAATAAAAATAACGAAAACTAAAAAAGGAGAAGAGTGCGCAAAGAAGGGGGCAAAGGGCGGGGATAGCAATAGCAGCATTATATCAAAAAATATTAAAGGTTAGTTGGGTATCCTTTACAGGACGTTGCAGAACCAACCCCAACAACCCCTGGCTGTTGTGTGGTTTTTCTAGGCAAATTTACGTCCAGTAGTTTACCATTGCCACTGGACGGTCGGCTTTCTTGATACCACTGTCGAAACCAACGCAGGGCGCATGGCCTGCAGCTGGGATCAAACCTGGCACCCCGGCATTACAAAGCGTTCGCATCGACTTAGCCACAAAGGCCAACAAATATTGAAGGGGTAGCAATATAATACATTGGTGAAAGCCGAAAGGAAGCCCAAGATGGGAAAAACAAGTCTACTGGACGTCAAAACCAAGTTAAAAATTGGCTTCTGGAATGTAACGATGGAGAGTGACTTGAATGCGGCATCTTCGACATGGAAAACTGCTCTGAAGGTTGCACAGGACAGGATAGCATGGAAAGTCCTCTCTGAAGCCTCATGTGCTACTAGGCATAAAGAGAACTGATGATATATAACAACAGCATTAGATTAGTAAATATCAACTTTCAATGCATATTAAAAGGAGAACATAGAAAATCCTTACCGCTCCTGCAAGAAGACTTCAGTGAAGTAAAAAGAAGAAGAGGACGATATTCCTTTTATTGCACGTTGTCATGTTAATGATATCATTTATTTCGTCCCCTTCAAAACATTCCTGAATAACTGAAACTGTCGTCTATAATGTTTGCACTATCGCAGATTACCTGTCTTAGAAGATTCATACAGTATCTTTCTCCTTAGTTTGCCGATATTTCTTGTCTCCAAGACTGCTACAATTCATCGCAAGTGTTAATTCTGACGTAAATTCCATATGCTGAAATGCCATCTGGACCTGCAGCGTTTCTATCCTTTTGCTGTTTGGCATTTCTATTTTTTCTTTCTTCTAATTCCTTTATATAGGTTACGTCTCACATTTGAAATCAAATTTGACTTTGGAGGCTGCAGACTGGGAAGCAGGAGGAAGAAAAATGTTAGTTGCATATCCTTTACACGATGTTGCAGAACCAATCCCAGCATTTTTTGGCTGTTGAGGTATTTGTAGGCAAATCGTACTTCCCGTAGTTTCCCATTGCTACCAAACGGTCAGCTCCCGGTACAGTTACGAAGCTCGTACGCAACGCCTAAGTTACAGACGCCGGAGGAAGAACCAAAAGGGGAGGGGGAATGGGGGGGGAGGACCAACAACAAAGATGACAACGAAAGCAACAACAATAACTATAATAATATAATAACTGAACTTTATAGATATTACTTATAATAAACTATACGACAAATTGGAAAAACAAATTAATATACTTACCAACAAATCTGTTATAAACCAAGCAACAAATGTGCAACTAACTGGAGCTTAATTTTCTGTTTTATAGTTACCAAGCTACCTCTATCATTTGACCCTTGCACCTAAAATGTCACCAGTTAACAAAATGCGATCTGAAAATAATACTTCACAACATCATGTCGTGACGTGTGACATCCCGTCACGTGATTATTCACTTAGAGCAGATCTTCGGCCGATCTTCACATATCGAAATCTTATCTTAGATTTGAGACAGCGATTTAAAGTTGTCTATCACATGTAATGATGGATGTAATCAAGGCCAACTTTATAGCAAAACCATTGAATATCTATATGCAGTCGTAGAAGTTAGGGGTTCGGTTATATTAAGGGATTCCACTCTTAGGTAGACAGATGTTGGCTAAGAAGGAAATTAGTGATGTCAGTAGTATATATTAAGGAAAAGCACACTAAATGAGAAGGCGGATCGCTCTATAACCTTTGTTATTTGACCTTCAACAAAGGGTCAGATAAGGCTCGGAGGTTGTTGTGGCTAGGCATCCGTGAGTGGTTGGGCAGCCGGAGTAGATGATCAGAGGGTTTTTCTGGGGCGGCGCTGATTAGAGGCAAACAGTGCGGGTCTTTTTTAGGGCTTAAATACTAAAATAAAGGAAGAGAGGGGCATTGATTGGCTTTGCTGAGGGGGTGGGGGGGGGGGGGTAGAAAGAATATATGTTGTAGATAAAAATACGTCAACATAATTATAGGGGCATGTGTCAGCTAGGGCTCGGGTAATGGTTTTTGGTCAAACACTAGCATCATCATAATCAAGTACCATGTTGGCAGGCGAGGGCGATTATGTCACTCCAGGTTTGTTGTGGGGTCTGTTGTTAGCAGATGCGATGTGCTTATGGTAGTATACAACTAAGCGGCAATAAGCGGTCATCTACAAACATGCCATGGGTGGGGTGGGGGAGGGGGCCATTAGGATCTCTTGTGCATATGGTGCTATTGCTCAATATAGAAAAAAAAATGAAAAAAAATATAGCAAAATGGTGGTTGTTGGGTCAAAATGTTAGGTGCCGGCGATTCAACGAGGGTTCAAGTTGTCATGTCAGCTAGTTACAGGATGGATGTGGGCTTTATTGAGTTTCACGGCAATGGTGCTTTGATTATAAAAAGAGGGGGACAATGAAAAATAATGGCAAAGCAGTGGATGCCGTATCACGATGTTAGGTGGTGGATCACTGAGGGGTCAACATTTGGTGTCAGTTCAGTTAGCTATATGAGACGTTTCAGGGGTCGTCAGGAGCTCTCTGACATATGGTGCTATACCTTTATATAAAATAAAAATTAAAAATTATGACAAAATGGCGGGGAACACTCACAGGGATGGGTGCCGGTGGTTTAATAAGGGAGTCAACTTACCATGTTAGCTAGTTACATGAAGAGTTTTAAGGGTCATTGAGTGGTGGCTTCATTTAGTGCTATATCTTTATTTAGAGTAAAATTTAAATTAAGGACATAAGAGTGGGTGTCGGGTCCTGTTGTTACGTGAGATGGTTCAGTAAAGGGGGTCAGACTGTCATTTCATCTAGCTACATGAGGAGATTTTGTGGCTATTTAAGGGTAGGGCATATGGTGCTATGACTGTATATAAAGAAAAATAAATTTAATTTGGAAGAGTAGTTGGTGTCATAATAAGGTGTTAGGTGCCGGTGGCTTAGAGAGGGGATCAAGTTGTCATATCAGATAGTTTTGTGGGTCACTGAGGGGTCACATCATATTGTGCTATGACTTTTATATAGTTAAAAAATTTGAAACATTATGACAAAATAAGGGTGTCACGGCGCAGTGTTAAGTACAGGTGGTTCAGAAGGTGTCAAGTTGTCATGTCAGCTAGTTAGATGTTGAGTATTAGAGTCCCCCGGGCATTTGATGCTATGGCCTTTTGAATATTAAAATATAAAATTAAGTAAATTCAGTTGATGTCACAAAACAATGTTAGTTGTTTATGTTCAGTGAGAGGGTCAAGTTGTCGTGTCGACTAGTCAGAGAAGGGGTTTGTGGGCTGAGGAACACCATAAATCGCACAATGTACCTCTCAACTTGGTCACTGGTCTTTGTAAGTGATTCACCAAAGTTCTTTGGTAAGTCGTTCAGTGTACTTCTCTAGCTGGTCACTGATTTTCGTAAGTTGTTCACTAGAGTTTCTGAGGAGGTCAACGACCATACTCGGAACACATTAAAGTGGATTATTTCCTCCGTAAAGCGGTCACTGTCTTCCTACACATTAAATAACTCTATGTCGTTCTCGTTTGGGACAACCTAAGTCACCCAAGACACTTCTTAAGTTACTCACTGATCTTGGTAAGTAGTTTACTGAAGTTTTTTGGTAAGGTCTGCCACTATCCATCAGAACGTTAAGTAGTTCGATGTCTTTCT